GGAAACAGGCTCTCATGAGCCCCAAGAGGTTCCCACAGGAAAGCAGGAGCACAAGACTGAGGGCCAGGGCCTAGATTGCCTTGATGTGCCATGAAAGTGCTAGCAGGGTTCCCTCTAATGAATATACGCCCCCGCACGTGACCCCACATGAACACAAGTCCCTGAGGCTGAGGATGCTTCCAGAAGGAGACTGCCCATGCAATAAAGTGTTTCTGACTGAGCACTGGGCAGGCTGATTCAGGAGGCAGAAGCTGGTGGTGCCACTATACCAAGCTGTCCGCGAGCCTCTCTGGGCCTCTCCACAGGGCACCGAGGATACAAACCCACAACAGGTGGCAAGTGCCAGCCCGTGGCCTGACTCAGTTCATCAGAACCCCAGGCTAGTGACCCAGTCCCACCCCAACCCACGTCTACCCATCCCCCACCCTCATCCTTTCAAGGCCGCCCTTCCCATTTCCTGAACTGTTCTGGGAGGAAACCCCGGTTGCCTTGGATGGACATCCCTCGGTCTGTCCGAACCACCAGCCAACAGCCCTGACAGCAAGTCCAGGTGCAAAGGGATCGATCGGTGCAACGGCTCTAAGGGGCACTGTGCATTCCGTCGTGGGCACCGCGGGGAGGGACCCCCAAGCACTGTGCTGGGAGTAGCTCTGGAGCTGCTGGTGGTCCCCAAAGCAAACAACTGCACAAATCCTACACAAACAATAATAAGAATGATCCGACCCTGCAGCGTCGCTGTCCAGAGCCAGGGGAGAGCCAGGCCTGACCCCACGCCTTAGGCAATACGACTCCCCTTATGATGGGTCTTCCACGCAGGAGGACAGGAACGCTTCCCGGAGTCCCCGGAAACACAAACCCACCGCCCAGATGCGGGCCCAGAATGCAGATGGGAACCTAAGAGTGGGATGGGGTTCCCCAACGGGACGCGTTGGTACAGGCATCCCCGCATCCTGCGGCCCCGCCCATACCACGCCCACCGGAAGTGACGGCATTGCGCGGATCGCGCTGCCGCGAAGGGTCCTGGACGTTCTCATCACCCGGAGAGTGGGGCAGCTGCTAAGTTTCTTCCCCACCACCACCACCCCGCACGCTGGTACCTCTCCGACCCAAGTCCTGCGCGTCTTGAATGGAGGACTAAGAATCAGGAGTCACCAGAACACCTTCCTGGGGGTCTTCATTCCCTCCTTATCCCAGATGCGTCATTCCAGCACCTGGCCCCCAAGGCCGTTCCCCGCGATGATCTCGCCCCATCCGGACACCACCCCCACCCCCTTCACGGGTCTGAGGTCAGCGCCTGGCGGGTTCAGGCGCCCAGTCCAGTTAAATGAACGAGGTCACCCACTGTCCATCCCCCCTCTTCTCCCAGACAACGGTCTGCTTTGAAAGAGGAATTCTTTGACCTCCTCACCCACCCTTTTCCCAGAGTCTCCCTCCCCCGCTCCCTGCAGTTTATGCATTTATGATAAGATTTTTTTAAATGTAGGAGTATTGCTTATGATAAGTTTTTTTTGGGGGGAACCCACACCAAAGATGCTTCGAAGTTCGTTGCAGAAGTTCTGGACCGTCACAAGTTTCAAACCTTGACCTCCTGTCTGCTTTATGTGTGATTTGGCCCAGAGCTATCTTTCCAGCTCCTGAAGGCTATGTTCCAATTGGGGGGGGGGGGTGCAGGGAGTTAAATCCAAGGCTTTAAAACTGTGAAGCATGCTTGCTATTCCTGAACCACATCCCTGGCCAAACCCCGGTAGTTTACACTTTTTAGGCCTGTTCTTGCGAGAGAGACAGGTGCTTGCGGGAGTGTCCCCTGGGGCCTCACACCGCTCCTTCAACTCCCTCTGGACTTTGTTGGCAAATGTCACTGAGCTAACAGGCCAAGTGCTTGGATCAGAGCCTGGGTTGAGTTCTGTGATCCTAAAAGTTCATGTTCACTTTTAGGATCACAGATACAAGTTCTAACCTAGAGGACCATCTATACCTCACACCTCAGCACCCCCCTGCCAGCAGGGCCCCTTAGGTGGGCTGGAGACATTTGTCTAGGAACTTCTGTTTCCTGGTGGTGTGTAGCTTCAATGGAAGCCAGAGGTCTGGGCCGAGAAGCCCCCTGAACTCTTAGCCCCCTCCCCAAGCTGCCTTTGCTCCCTGGGCTCTTACTGCCTCTTGCAGACCCCCAGCTCAGCACACAGCCCCCCTCCCCAAGATCTATTGGTCTCTTGCAGACCCAGAGCTCCCACAGGGCATGAATGAAGAGCTCCCACAGGGCATGAATGAATCATGGATGTCCTGTTCCACAAGACAATCAGGTTCTGTGGTCCTGTTCCATCCTTCTTCACCCAGGCACAATCCACCTATCCCAACAGGAATAATTTTTTTTGGGGGGGATACTTATGGCTCAGTATTTGGGGGCTCCTCTTGGTGGTGCCTGAGGACCAGGTTGGGCTGGGGAATGCAACTAGGGCTCCCTCATCACAGCGTGTACTTTCCCTAGTGAATATCTCCCTGGCTTCTTGAAAGGCTCCTAAAAGAACTGGAAATGGGGCTTGGGGAGGTGTTACAGGGGAGAAGGTTTTCACCTTGCTCATGGAAGATCCCCGAATTCATTGATTTTCGGGGGATTGGGGCCCTAGCAGTGCTCAGGGCTTATTCCTGCCTCTGCACTCAGGGATAACTTTTGGTGGTTTCGGGGGACCCTATGAAATGCCAGGGATTGAACCTGGGCTGGCCGCATGCAGGGCAAGTGCCCTACTGGCTGTACTATTGCTCCAGTCCCAATGTTTTGTTTCATTTGGGTGGGGGTCTGAATTTGATCCATGTACGATGCCCATGAGCCTGCTGGGAATTATCTCTGAGCACAGAGCCAAGAGTAAGCCCTGAGCACCACCAGGGGTGACCCCAAAAGCAAAAATAAATGGAATAAAGATGAACTAATAGTATGCTAAAAACACAAACACAGGGACCAAGCGCTAGGGCAGTGGGAAGGGCATTTGCCTGGCAAATGGCTGACCTGGGTTTAATTCTGGCATCCCACATGGTCCTCTGAGCCATGCTAGGCGTAATCCCTGAGCGCTGAGCCAGGAATAAGCCATGAACACAGCAGTGTGTGGCAAAAGCAAGCAAGCAAGAAGACAAGAAAGGAAGAGAAAATCCAGGGCACGTGCCCTTTGACACAGCAGGAGAGACGCCTAGGTTGAGTACACAACTGTCCTGTGGAGTTTGCTTATGCACTGACATGGTGGCATGCGTGTCCCCTCTCCTTCCCACCATCTCTCTCGCACTGCCTCTGTGACATCCGTTCCCTGTGTAGATGGTGCATCCTTCATTTTTCACTGTGAATTTCTATTAAAGTAACACATTGAAGTTGCTAGGATTTCCAAGTATTGAGGGTTTCCAGAAGCTTCCAGACACAGCATGCAAAATAATGGTGTGGGGACAGTGTAACCGTTTTTGGAGTCAGGGTTGCATTTGGGCTTTGCCCGGCAGGGCTGGGTATCCCAAGATCATGCCTAACAGTTCTGCTTGCAGGACCAGGGGTCAAACTCAGAATCTAGGTCTGGAGATACAACAGGTAGGGCACTTGCCTTACATAGGGTCAACCTGGGTTTGATCCCTGGCACCACATACCAGCCTCCAAGCACTGCTAGGAGTGTTCCCTTAGAACACAGAAGCTGGAGTAATCTCTGAGCACTATCAAGTGTGGCCCACAAACTAACCAAAGAAGCAAACAAAAAAACCCAGAATCTTGCAAAAGCCAGGCAGAAATGCAACCTTCTGAGCCACATTCCCAGTACTGGACTTGCTATTTTATTTTTTAAGCAATTTTTTTTCTTTTTGGGTCACCTCCGGTGATGCTCAGCGGTTACTCCTGGCACTCCACTCAAGAATTACTCCTGACGGTGCTCGGAGGACCATATGGAATGCTGGGAATTGAACCCGGGTCGGTCGCGTGCAAGGAAAACACCCTACTCACTGTGCTATCACTCCAGCCCCCAAACTTGCTATTTTAACTTTGGTATTCACTAGTTGTTTGATAGGGGCAAGTAACAACTGTTTTGAGCCTCAGTTTCCCTGATTGTAAAATGTTAATATCTACTCTCACGTAACATGTATCCTGAGTTAGAGAAATTATCATCAACACCATAATTACTGTGACTTTTTATTATTGCTAATTTGCTTCTATGGAAGGCTCTTTGGGCTAAACCAGGAACTATTGTCCTTGTTTCTCTGTGAACTGATGACTTGTCAAAGGCAGGTCTGGGCACTGTTTGTGGGGATGCATGGGCCCCAAAGGACCCTTAGGGAGGGCGAGTGCCCTGAAATGAGGGAACCCAGGGTACCTCTGGCTGTTATCAAGCCAGGAAACCTTTCCTGGAGGAGAAACACGAGTCAGCGCTTCCCTGCACAGAATGAAGGTGATCGTGGGGCCGAGTAACCCAAAGCTGCAGAGACAAACGGATTTGACAGGTCAGAAAAGGAGGAAGCTTCTGGGTGAAGGGATTGTTGTTGAAACAGTATATGCCCGGAAACTCAATCCTAAACGTCTTTGTAACTTTGTAATTCACGGTGATCCAATATGAGAGAGAGAGAGAGAGAGAGAGAGAAATAGAGAGAGAGAGAGAGAGAGAGGAGGGAGGGAAAGGGGGAACCCAGGGAGAGGTTCAGAGAGGGGAAGAAAGGTGGGGAGGCCGGGCTGGGGAGCAGCGCCCGGGACAAGAGACGGGATGGGGAAGCTGTGAACCACAGGGGACAGGCTGAGGATGGGCCGGTCACAGGAGAGCTGCGGCCTGGCTGGCAATGCGAACCTCGGATCCGGGACGACGTTCCGGCGCCGGAAGGGCGCGGGGACACGGAGCCGCAGGCATCGGCCGGGCCCTCCCCGCACCGAGTGGCAGGGAAGCGCGCGGGGCAGGTGCCGGTCCCCGGCCCAAGCGCGGCAGATGCGGGGCGTGGCCAGCGGGAGGGGCGTGGCCTACGAGGCGTGGCCGGTGGGGGCGGGGCCGACGCCGGCCGGAGGGCGGGGCGCGCCGCTCGGCGCCTGCGAGAGCCGCGGGGGCCGCGGAGCCGGAGCTGGATCCCTAGCCCGGGCTGGGGCGGGAGCCGGGGCCGCGGCTGGGCCGGAGCGGCCTCGGGCGCGATGGGGTCGGTCGACTCCAAGCTGAACTTCCGGAAGGCGGTGATCCAGCTCACCACCAAGACGCAGGTGCGTTCGGGTGGCCCCCGCCCCCCCCCCCCCCCCCCCGGCGTCCCTGCTCACCTGCCGCGCGGGGGGAGGGGGGATGGGCAGGGCGGGGGCTGCGCGAACTTGACTCGCCGGAGATGGGGGGTGGCGGGCCAGGGGGCCGGCCGGCCCGGAGGGTGGCGCTGACGCCGGGGCTGGAGCGGACTCCCGGCTCCATCCCCGACCCCCTCCCGCCTCCCGCCTCCTCTCCCGGGAATATTCCTCTGCCCGCAGCCGCTGCCGCCGCCGCCGGCTGACGTGTGCCTCCCGCTCTCCCAGCCGAGCTTGCACCGCCGCCGGCCGCCCCCCTGCCCGCCACCCGCACCCCCAGCCTCGCACCCCGGCCTCTCCCTTCCTCTCCCACCCTTGCACCGCGCAGCTTTCCCTCTGCCCCTCGGTACCCGCGGGTCCCGGCGCTCCGACCCGGCTGACTCAGTGCAAACAAAGCCTAGCCGGCGGGGAAACAGCTGGTACGCGGTGGTGGCAGCAGCCGGGGGCCGGGGGGTGCTGCCCGCCCGGAAGGCCTGGGGCTTCCTGGAACCCCAGAGTGAGGTTGGCTGACAAGGGGACCCGTTCCCAGATCTGGTGCTCCAGGGGAACCACTGTTCCGGGGGCTCCTCCGAGGCCCAGTGCTGAGGATGGCCACATTCCCGGGGGCCCCTCGCCCCCAGGTCGGGGATACAGATGCCCCAAGTGACCCTGAGTGAGCGGGGGTGGGGTCGGTGCCTTTTAGCCTTTTACACTTGCAACCTCTGCCCGCAGTTGGGGTCCCCCTCATAGGCTCTTGCCCCTTTACTCCTCACCCATAGAACCAGAGAGGCCCAGCCTTCTCCCTCCAGACCCCCCACTTTCAAGGGAGTCAGGACTTGTGGCCATCTGGAACTTTCTTCCTATTGTTCCTTACTATCACTCCCGGGGGCTCTGCTCTTAGCTGGGGCTCTGCACTTAGCTGGGGTTCAGGGGGTTGAGTCTCCCCGAAGTCAGCTGATCCCCCACAGACCAGTCAGCTGCCCGCCAGTGCCCGGGGCCTCAGAGAAGTCCAACCCGCTGATGGGCATCTGACAGGCCTGGCTCTGGGTGGGTGTGGGCACTGGGCTTTCTCTCATGGTCAGGGAGATGACCCCCTCAGTGTGGAGCCACTCAGGGAAGCAGGAGGGAAGCAGCTGGGACTCCCGGGAGTGGTGCTCTGGGCTCAGCCAGTTCAGAGCCCCTGGACTCTGGGCCCCCTGGCTTGGCTCCTCCCTCCCAGAATGCCTCACTCTTGGGTCTCCCCAGCTGCCCTGGCCCAGTGGAGGACCTGAGTTAGCCTGGGGCTGGACTAGAACAGACAAGGCCCAGACTCGCTGCAGGGAACCCCAAGCCAGAGGGGCTGCCAAAAGGAAGAGACCCTCAGGGTGGAAGGGGGTTTTCCTGGGCACCTGGTCTGGCAGCCCAGGGAGGACAGCCCGGGACAGCTCCCAGGCTGAATGTGGAGTTTGTTTGGGCAGCAGACAGGCTGCTGCCACACCTTTCTGTCACCCCCTCCCCTCGCCTTCCTGAACTGTATCCTGTTTGCTTCCTGCCTGGCTGGCTGGGGCCTACCCCTGCCCCCTGGATCCGTGGCCAGCTGAGTTTCCTGCTCCTTCCCTGGTCTGCTCCCAGACTCATCCTGCTTGGACATGTCTACCTCGTGGGCCTTTTGTGAGGTGCTGGGACGCCCACTCAGGCTGGAGTCCAGCCTGCTCCCTGCCAGACAGGTTCGAAGGACCCCCTGAACCCAGGGCGAAGGGGCTTGCCTTGCCTGTGATCTGCCCCCGTTCCATCCCCAGCTCCACATACTGTCTCCTGAACGCTGCCAGGAATGATCTCTGAGCACAGAGCCAGGAGTAAGCCCTGAAGTACGGCAGGTGTGACACCCCCTCCAAAAAAAAAAAAAAGAAAATCAAATTTTTCAGCAAAGGGGCATCAAGCCTGTGCCCCTGGCAGTCTGGCTCTGCCCTGTCCAGCCAAGTCCTGAGATTTCAGAAGCTTTCCTGGGCCAGCTTCGGCCGAAGTCACTCTGGCCAGAGCTAGGTCAGGTCCCTCTCTGGACATCGAAGGGACCTGTGACCCCAGCCGACCCCTGTAGCATTAGGCCTGCCAGGCAGAGCCAGGAAACGGTCCCCTCTCTGAGGCAGTGGGGCCAGCAGAAGCACCCTGAGCTGGGCGTGAGGGAGGGGAGTACCCTTTCAGGTCTGCCCCCTGTAACTGGGCTCTGCTCCTGGGCCTCCTCATTTCAGGTCTCATTCGGGGGTGACTCAGGCCTGATGAACTAACCAGGTCAGAGGTCAGAGGTCAAGGTCACTCGCATCCCCAGAAGTTTTGCCCCCTTTGGGAGGATTGTGGGGAAATGTCAGAGGTGGGGTCTTCTCAGAGGGGATCCTGGTGGGAAGGGGGACTCTGGAGACCTTCTGGGTTGATCTACATCCCCTAAGCCTTGGTGAGTGAGTGTTGGAGGGTTTGAGGGCCAGCCAGCCCCAGCCCCAGGCCTCCTGTAGCCTTTGTCCCTGTCCCCAGTGAACTGGCTCTTCCAGTTTCCAGATAGAGCAGGCCTGATGCCAGCCTCTGTCCTGGCCACCAGCAGGCCTGGGACTCGAGGGAGCACTGCTTGGGGAGGGGGCCAGAGGATTCCTGGGTGAACTTGGTGACTCCACTTGGGCCACTCCATGGGACGCCCAGCCCTGACAGTGATCAGAGGGATGTCTGGGGTAATTACACCCCACAGCTAAGCAAATGTTGGCCACACGCCTGCCATCTGTCTCCACTGACACCCTACTGCAGGCTGCTGGGTCCCAGAGAGCAAGCCTGGGGGTGGGGGGCTTCTTGGAGGAGGAGGCCTCAGAGCTTCCTGTGGCTCTGTTTAATCACGTCTTTGGGTGTATAGGTTTGTTTCCCGCTAGTTCAAGTCGCACATTCTCTCCCTGGCCTGTGACAGCAGGTTCCTCGCAGAAGAGGGTCAAGTTAGCGTTATAGGAGCCTGACTTCACTATCCCTGCTCCCAGCCCTAGGGCCACATCTCAGCTCTTTCCTCCCTATGGGTCTCACTATGTGAGACCTCACTATAACAGTGGCCCCTTAGTAAAAACCTGACATGCGTGCCTCAGGTTCCGCCCTCGGGAGAATTTTTTGTTGTGTTGTCTGGGATCCACGCAGGTTGTCCATCTGACAGCGTACGTGTTCACAGGGTCAGGCATACTCCAGGGCCCAAGGAGGGCTGGGGGACCCTGAAGGGGCAGGGCATGGAGGACAGGAGGGGGTACAGTCTGAGTAAGACTGTGGGGTATGGATTCGGGAAACTCCACACGTGCAGGGCCGGAGCCATCATACAGCAGGGAGTGAGTTTGCCTTGCATGTGGCCGACCTGGGTTCCATCCCTGGCACCCCGTATGGTCTTCTGAGTTGCCAGGAGTCACCTAAGCACAGTCAGAATAAACACTTGGGCACTGCCAGGAGTGTGACACCCCCCTCCAAAAAAAAACCCATGCTCTTGTGTACATGTACAGTTGTGAGCATATGTCCACATGTGCATGCACATTCTGGGTATTCACTGTGATGCACACGTGCTTGTTGTGTTTTCTGTGAAGGTGTGCATGTACATGATTATGTGTGTGAATGCTTGTTTACAATATATTTTTTTGCTTTTTGGGTCTCTCCCAGCGATGCACAGGGGTTACTCCTGGCTCATGCACTCAGGAATTACTTCTGGCCATGCTTGAGGGACCATATGGGGTGCTAGGAATCGAATCTGGGTTGGCTGCGTGCAAGACAAATGCCCTACCCGCTGTGCTATCGCTCTAGCCCCTGTTTACAATTTTTCATGTGCTCAGGTGTGTATGTTAGTATGAGTTGCATGCATGCGTGCACACGTATGGACATGATTGTGTGTAAATACAGGTGTGCACGTTTTACAAGTACAAGTATGTGTGCATGACTCACACATCCATAAGTGCATATATATGTGCACGTGTGCAAGCAGGGAGGTGCGTGGAGGTGACCTCTTGGCTGAGTGTCTGCCGAGTTCTGCCGAGGTCTGAGCCACATCTAGTGGGCCCTAAAGTGCCCTGAAGTTCTTGGCATGACCTCAGTGGGCTCTGCACTCTGCTAGGGGTGGAGCTGGAATCTGGGGGCGGGGCCCCTGCAGAAGGGCCTGGACTGCAGCGCTGGGCACTGGTGGCAGGAGGTGGCCCTCAAGTACCGAGGGAAGGATTGTTTAGATTGGCACCCGTGGGGTATGGCAAGGGAGGGTGGGGCAAGGGGAGCTGCGTCTGTGAATGGAGAGGAATACAGGCCCCCTTTGTCAACTTCCTGGGGCAGAGGGCACAACCTGGCTCTGGCGCCTGGGTACTTAACATGCCTGTGAGCCTGAGGCCCAGGGAGGGCGGGGGAAGTCTGGGCTGTCCAGAGGAGGATGGGCTGGTCCCGGGCCACACCAGCCTCAGGTCGAACTGGGCCCCTCACTGTCCATGTGCTTGCCCGCATGTGCTGGCCGGCTCTCCGGTGGGTAAGCACCTCCTGGCGGGGGCAGGCCCAGGACTCTGGCAGGGGGGCTCCTTGGCCGTAGGCGGGGTAAGCTCGGTGTCACTCTGGACTCTGCTCCCCCCCACAGCCCGTGGAAGCCACTGATGACGCCTTCTGGGACCAGTTCTGGGCTGACACGGCCACTTCGGTGCAGGATGTCTTTGCCCTGGTGCCTGCGGCAGAGATCCGGGCGGTGCGGGAGGAGTCGCCGTCCAACCTGGCCACTCTGTGCTACAAGGTGAGGCCTCCAGGATGCCACGCATGCCGCCCTGTGCTGGGCAGGTTCCCGCTTCCCTCCTCCCGCTTTGGGCTGGGGGATAGGGGCCCCTCTGGCCAAGCGCCATCCCCACCCGTTGCGCGTGGTGCTCCTGTGCGGCTGCTCCTGCACGTGGTGAAACTGAGGCTGGGGGTGGCGACAGCAGGCTCTCCGGGACGCTCCAGGCTGTCCGCTTGTCGGGGTGTCCAGACCCCGTCGCCCCCTCTAGCGAGTCCCGCGCTCCTCCCCACAGGCCGTGGAGAAGCTGGTGCAGGGGGCCGAGAGCGGCTGCCACTCGGACAAGGAGAAGCAGACGGTGCTGAACTGCAGCCGGCTGCTCACCCGCGTGCTGCCCTACATCTTCGAGGACCCTGACTGGCGGGGCTTCTTCTGGTCCACCGTACCCGGCGCTGGGCGAGGCGGGGTCTGTAGGGGCAGGGCTCAATGGGCGGGGCCTGATGAGATGGGTTAGTGGGTGGGGCCTGAAGGAGCTGTGGGCGAGGCCTGAGGATGGGTGGGGCCTGGCGGGCGGGGCTATGAGCAGGACCTGAGAAGATGGGATTTATGGGCTGGGGCTGGAGGGTCTGTGGGCAGGACCAGATGGGAGGGGTGTATGGGCGGGGCCTGGGAGATGGGGCTGGTGGGCCTGGTCTGGCGAGGTGGGATCTGGGGGAGTGGCCATGCAGAAGGGTCTTTGCAGGGAAAGAATGGGCCACCTTCCCCCTAACCTCTCCAGGACAGGGAGGTGCAGGAGGAAAATGTTGGGGACTCCTCCACAGGGGCAGAGAGAAGGTAGCGCTGTTGAGGGCACGCTGCCCTCTCCTCCACCTGGGCAGCCCTCTGGTGATTCCCAGCTGAGGATGAGGCCCTAGACTTTGGGGGACCCAGTCTGGCCCTTCCTCGCTGCTCCCAGTCTGCTTCCCATTCTCCTGTGCTGCTTCGGGAGGTCCAGGGGCTTCAGGATCCACTTCCATTTCTGTCTCCTGCACCTACTTGTTCATGTGCCCCAGAGGCCTGGGTCCTTGGGGCTAGAGTAATAATAGAAGCGGGTGGGGCATTTGCCTTGCACGCTGACATCCCTAGTTGAGTCCATCTCTGGTGCCTTATATGGTCCCTTGGGACCACCAGGAGTAACCCCTGAGTGCAGAGCCAGGAGTAAGCCCTGAGCACTGCTGGGTGTGGCCCCCAAACAAAAGGAAAACAAGAACAGGGAGTCTGAGCCCCTTGCTGTCCTCCAGGCTTTGGGGCCACCGCCCCTGGCTAGCCACACTGAGGCGGCCTGTGGACTGTCCCACAGGCAGAGGACGACGACGAGAATGCCCGGCCGCTGGCTGAGTCCCTGCTGCTGGCCATTGCCGACCTGCTCTTCTGCCCTGACTTCACTGTGCAGAGTCATCGCAGGAGCACGGTGGTGAGAGTCCTGGGCCCCACACTCGGGGACTGGGCAGCGGCTGCTGGGCACACGAGGTCCCCGGGAGAGGGGTGGCTGGCACGGCTGGAGAGGAGCCAGCTGGTCCCTCCCAGCCCTGGCCGGGGCAGTGGTACAGGAGCCCATTGTCTCTGCCTGGGCAGGGCCGGGTGTGGGGCTTGGACCAGGCTGTCCTGGCCCTGTCACTTCCTGTGCTCCTCGGCATTGACCTTGAGGAGGTCCACTGTGCCCCTTGTCCCGTCCCCCTCATGCTCACCAGGGTGCCCCCGCCCCACCCCACCCCTTCCCTCACTCTGCTCCTCAGACTGGATTCAGCCAGGGAGAGAAGCGGACCAGGAAAACACCTCCAAGGTCCGAGAGCTTCTCTCCCCGCCTCCCGTGTCATGGCACTGGCTTAGAATATGGGGGTCTCTGCCTCTGGGGGTCAGGAGACTAGGACTGGCCGCTGCCCCTGCCTGATCGCTCCCTGACCCTGTCCCCAGGACTCTGCGGAGGACGTCCACTCCCTGGACAGCTGTGAATACATCTGGGAGGCGGGTGTGGGCTTTGCCCACTCCCCACAGCCCAACTACATCCACGACATGAACCGGTGAGCTCACAGGGCCCCAGTGCCCCCGCCCCCAGGCGCCTGCCTCCAGCGCTGCAGGGATAAAGTGGGGTCCCTCCTTCTCCCTGCTTGGATCTGGTCTGGCGGGGGTGGGGGCTACCTTTCCGGGGGTGCATTCGGACCCGCAGGCTTTGAAGCTACTCACTGGTCCCCAGGATGGAGCTGCTGAAACTGCTGCTGACCTGCTTCTCAGAGGCCATGTACCTGCCCCCTGCTCCCGACAGCGGCAGCACCAATCCGTGGGTTCAGTTCTTCTGTTCCACGGAGAACAGGTGAGGCCACCCCCGCACCCCGCTTTTCCGTGGCCTTCTCCCGGTTGAGTCCGTCTGAGGGGGCCGTGCTGCCCCCTGGTGGCCGCAGTCTCGCTCTGCAGCCCAGCTGCGGGCGCTGTCCAATGTGCCTCGCTCGCCGCCTCCCTAGAGCCGCGTTGCTGGGGGAAACGAATGTCGGAGGCAGTTCCTGTTGAATGCTGTGCTAAATCTTTCTTTTGTCCGTACCTTCCCTTTTCTTGTGATGAAGGTTGCACACACGCGGTGCCACCGCTCACGCCCCTCCTGGCGGAGCTGGCCAGCGACCCTCACGGTGGTGCTGCTGCGATCGCCCCCTGCCGGCCACGGGAGCGCAGGGCAGGCACTTCCCGGGCCCCCAGCTACGCATATCAAACATCTCTTGTAGGGACCTTAAAACGGGGTGGGGGGAGGGGCTTGGGCTGGAGTGATGGTACAGCGGGTAGGGCGTTTGCCTTGCACGCGGCGGCCGACCCGGGTTCGATTCGCGGCATCCCATATGGTCCCCTGAGCACCTCCAGGAGTAATTCCTGAGTGCATGAGCCAGGAGTAGCCCCTGTGCATCGCTAGGTGTGTGACACAAAAAGCAAAAAAAGAAGAAAACAGGGGCTTCTCCGGGGGTCTGAGCCTTAGTACAGTTTGCCCTGTACTCAGCGGATGAATGTTCAATCCCCAGCACTACTTATGGTTCCCCCAAGGTCCTCCAGGAGTGATCCCTGAGCTCAGAGCCACCATGAAGCCCTGAGCACAGCCGGGTGAGGCCCCAAATAGAAAATAAATAAATGAGAGTTGGGCCTCTGAGAGTTGGTCACGTGGGGGATTGAAGCACTGTCAGATGCTTCAGATGATGGAGGTGGTTTGGGGACTGCACCTGGAAGTGCTCAGAGCTTACTCCTGGCTCTGTGCTCCGGAATCCCTCCTGACAGGGCTCTGGGAGCCATCTGGGGTGTGTGCAGGTTTGCACCCCTGCTCTCTCCAGTCTCTGCATTTCCTGCCCCTGTGTTTGCCACCTTTGTTCACTTCTGACCACTTTGCTTCAAGTACACAGTGATGCTGGGTGGTTTCCTGGGCAGTTTCAATGGGGAAAGAGGGGGGGGAGGCAGATACAGAGAGCATCCTCAGGGTGGGGGAGCCTGGGCTGTGGGGGTGCCGTGAGTGCGTGGAGGCGTCCAGCGGGATTTGGAGCAGGTCTGCCCCTCCAGCTGCCTCTGCGGTGCCTGAGGTCAGCATCCCCAAAAGTCACCGTCCACCCTCCGCCCACCCATAGTCTCCTGTTAACTCTGTCCCACTCAGGTTTTCCCAGAAGGAAGGAGCCCAAGGTGACTCTTCTACCAGTCGCCACCCAGGGGGTAACCGGAAAACTTCCTGGAGGCAGTGGTGTTGATGTCATGCTCTGATGTTTCATAGTGGGGGAGGGGAGATAAGAGTGTGAATTTAAGGTCAGGGAGATGGTGCTCCTGAGCCTCTCTGGGTCTCCGTCTCCTCACCTGTAGAATGGGCCACTGAGGCCTGGATACTGACCATCTCTGAATTGAGTCACTCAGCGGCCCTAGCCAGGTGCTTGAGTACAGGCTCTGCTCCCCAGGAGAACCCACCTTCCTGGTGGACCCCCAGCCCCTTCTCTGAAGCCCTGAGGGGAGCATGTGCCCCCTCCTGAGCTGCCCCAGGTGAAAGCATGTGCACCCCTGAACTCAGGGATCACCCCAGCAGTGCTTAGGGGACCATGTGGGGTAATGGGGATAGAACCTTCCCTGCCATACTGTCCTTCTGGGCATTTGTGAATGAGCATCCTGGCTGACCCCACAGAGCAGTGGAGGGGTGGATGGGCGGAGCCTGCAGCCCTGCCCTCCGCTGCCCTGCAGACACGCGCTGCCCCTCTTCACCTCACTCCTCAACACCGTGTGTGCCTACGACCCGGTGGGCTACGGGATCCCCTACAACCACCTGCTCTTCTCCGACTACCGGGAGCCGCTGGTGGAGGAGGCCGCACAGGTGCTCATCGTCACCCTGGACCACGACAGCGCCACCAGCGCCAGCCCCACAGTGGACGGCACCACCACCAGCACCGCCATGGATGATGCTGAGGTCAGGCAGGACGGGGATGGGGGTGGGGGGCAGCCAAGCAGGGCCGCCTCGTCCAGCTGCAGCTCACTCACCCACTCTCCCTCCTCACAGCCTCCAGGGCCCGAGAACTTGTTCGTGAATTACCTGTCACGTATCCACCGCGAGGAGGTGAGTGGCGCCTGGCTCCAGCTCCTGTGGATTCTCTGTGGTTCTGGCCGGGCAGGGGACGAAGGTGAGATTGGGTGAGCCGTGTCCTGGCTCCTCCAGGGATGGATCACGGTGCCGTGGATTTGAGATACCCCAAGTGAAACGGGGGTGGTGGGAATCTGAGGTGATGGACTCCCCAGGGGTGGCAGGTAGCCCAGGAGGCTTCCTGAAGGAGGTGGTGCTGCCATCACACTGATGTTTCGGAGTCAGGGGGAGGGTTACCTGAAAGTGGATTTCAGGCCAGGCCGACCCCCACTCTTGTCCCTGGGGACCTCAAGGGTGCCTTCTGTACCCACTGAGCCCTCACCTCTATAGCTGTGACACAAGACAATGATGGTTCACCCTGAACTTGCCCCTCTTGTGGCCCAGGTGCAGCGGGGGTCGCTCTCAGGAGGACAGGACGGGGGTCGGAGGGCCAGAGGAAGGTGCTGCCCGCCAGTTCAGGGGAGAAGGGGCCCAGTCAAGGGGAGGCCTATGTGTGGTGTGTGAGCAGGGGCACAGATAAGGGCCATCCGGGACTGTCAGGATGATCTTGGTATCTGGGTTCCTCTCACTGCTGATGTGGGGGCACAGGGAGCCACAGGCCAGGGAAGCCTGGCGGCTGTAGGGGCCACTGGGACAGGCACTGCTGTCCCCCTCCCCGTCCCAGACAGGCCCCGCCCACCTCTCACCTCCTGGACCAGCCCCGCCCGCCCCTCCCCTCCTGACAGGCCCTGCCCTCCCCCTCCCTGTCCTCCAGGACTTCCAGTTCATCCTCAAGGGCCTGGCGCGGCTGCTGTCCAACCCGCTGCTGCAAACCTACCTGCCCAACTCCACCAAGAAGATCCAGTTCCACCAGGAGCTCCTGATTCTCTTCTGGAAACTCTGCGACTTCAACAAGGTGCCCCCCCACCCCCAGGGCGCACTGGACAGCCCTGTGGGGGGCAGCGCCTGAAGGACTGGCAAGGTGGTTCAGAGTCACCCACTGAATTCTCCGATCCCCTCCCCCCCCGCAGAAATTCCTCTTCTTTGTGCTAAAGAGCAGCGACGTGCTGGACATCCTGGTCCCCATTCTCTACTTCCTCAACGACGCCCGGGCTGACCAGTGTAAGGGGAGGGCCTGGCGGGGGCGGGAGGCGTCCCTGTCCTGGTGCCCCTCGGACCCCGCCCTCACCCCCTGTTCCGGCCACAGCTCGAGTGGGTCTGATGCACATCGGCGTCTTCATCCTGCTGTTGCTGAGCGGGGAGCGGAACTTCGGGGTGCGGCTCAACAAGCCCTACTCGGTGCGCGTGCCCATGGACATCCCTGTGTTCACGGGCACGCATGCCGACCTGCTCATCGTGGTGAGTGGGTGCCCTGGCCAGGGTGTGGGGGGCGGGGCGGCGGGTCCTGGAGGCCGCGTGGACCCCACGACCCCCCTCTGCTCGCTCCCCGCTCCGCGTAGGTGTTTCACAAGATCATCACCAGCGGCCACCAGCGGCTGCAGCCCCTCTTCGACTGTCTGCTCACCATAGTGGTCAACGGTAAGCCGCCGTCCCCGCGACGGCCACCAGGGGCGCTAGCCCCCAGCTGACCGGCCAGCCCTTCCCCGCCCCGCCCAAACGCACAGCCGGCCAGGTGGTCCCTTTCTAGTAGTTAAAGAATAAAAGAGGGGGTGGAGCGATAGTCCGGCGGGCAGGACGATTTCCTTGCACGCACCCAACCCAGGTTTGATCCCCAGCATCCCTTATGATCACCCTCCAAGCACCACCCAGAGTAAGCCCTGGGTGCAGAGCCTGGAGTAACCCCTGAATATCCCTGAGTGTGACCCCAAAACAAGAACAAAAGAAACTGTCTAGTTAAAAACGCACATTTAGGATAGGGTGTTGTCTTGCATGCATGCAGCTGACCCGGTTTGATCCCTAGCATCCCATATAGTCCCCTGAACCACAGCAGGAGTAATTTATGAGTATAGAACCAGGAATAACCCCTAAGCATCACTGAGTATGACTACCCCCAAAAAACAAAAACAAAAACAAAAATCTCACATTTAGGCCGAGAAGGCACTTGCCTTGCACGTGGCTGACCTGGGTTCCATCCCTGGCCCTCAGTAGGGGCCCTGGAGCCCTTCTACGAGATCCCTGAGCACAGAGCCAGGAGTAAACCCTGAGTCCCGCTGGGTGTGGCCCCCAAACAAAACAAAACAAAGAATAAAAGAAACAGATGACTGTGGTTTCTTTAAACCACCTTGTCCCAAATATCCCATTATCTCAGCTTGTAAAATTGTCTTAAAGTAATTGAGAGGTGTAGAAATTTGTACACCATCTTCAAACCTGCACCCGCATGGAGCTTCTGTCAGCAAAGACCATGCTCCCAGTGCTCACCCCCACCCCCATGGCAGCTGCCCTACTGGATGGTGCAGTTTGTGTGGTTTGTCTTTTTTTGGGGGGGGTTGGGCCACAATCATCGAAACTCAGGGGTTAGTCCTGGCTCTGCACTCAGGAATCACTCCTGGGGGTGATTGGGGACCCTGTGGGGTGCCGGGGCTTGAACCTGGGTCGGGAGTGGGCGGGGCAGGTGCGCCACCGGCTGTACTGGACGGCACAGTTCGGATAAGTGCAGCATCCACTGATGCCGGGCCGGGAGATGATCAGGGAACCCCCAGGAGCACCCCCAGGAGCAACCCCTGAACAGGGAGCTGGAGCACTACCAGATGTGACCCCAAACCTACGAAGTTTGGGGGCCCAGAGACATTGTACAGTGGGGAGGGCACTGACCTTGCATACGACCAACCCAAGTTTCATCCCCAGCATCCCATATGGCCCCCCCAAAGCACCTCCAGGAGTGACCCCTGAGAGCAGAAGCAGGAGTAAGCCCTGAGCACCACTGGATGTGGTCTCTCCAAAGAAAGATTCTGAATGTCTGAGCCTCAGTTCCCAAGTCTGTAAAAGGGGGAGGTAGCACCATGTCCTACTCTCAGAAGTGTGGGAGGACTGTCCCTTGCCACTGGCCACCTGGGGGGGCAGGGAGGTACCCCATGCTGTCCTGTGGCTCAGTGGAAGGCATGGCTACAGCATGCTGAGCCTAGAGGGGGCTTTGTGGGGGCAGGGAGGGTTTTGCCCGGAGTGAGCTGACCCGTCCCCTGCAGTGTCCCCCTACCTCAAGAGCCTGTGCATGGTGGCGGCCAACAAGCTCCTCCACCTCCTCGAGGCCTTTTCCACCACCTGGTTCCTGTTCTCGGCCGCCCAGAACCACCACCTGGTCTTCTTCCTGCTCGAGGTGTTCAACAACATCATCCAATACCAGTTTGATGGTAAGCTGTGGGCGGGCCCCCACATCCTCTTGTCCCACTCCTGTGCTGGTGGAAAATGGCAGGAGGGAACCCCCCCAGGCTTCCAATAGACGGGGGTGCGGGGCTCAGCAGGAAAAAACGCATGTGCCTTGCAGGCCAGAGACCTGGGCCCCCACAATAAACAGGAAACTGAAACAGGGCTTACCCCAGCCAGCGGGCCCCTGACCTTTTTTTTTTGGGGGGGTCACACCCAGTGATGCTCAAGGGTTCCTCTTAGCTCTGAATTCAGGAATTACTCCTGGCAGTGCTGATCATATGGGATGCCAGGGATCAAACCTTACTGCATGTAAGGCGCATGCAAGGCCAGTGCCCTCCCCAACTATCGCTCCAGCCTTGCCCATGACTTCTGACTTAAAGGGAGTAATGGACTCCTTACGGCTAGACCAGGAGGGGTGTCGGGGGACCCCAGGGGAAAGCTGTCCCCTGCAGCCCACAGCTGACTGCCTGCCCCACACCGGCACCCTCCAGACGCCCCCCAGGCTCCATGTGGGGGCCCGAGGGACAGGAGGGTGCCCCTCACGCAGCTGCTTCCGGCCCACAGGCAACTGTAACCTGGTGTACGCCATCATCCGGAAGCGCGGCCTCTTCCACCAGCTGGCCAACCTGCCCACTGATGCGGCCGCCATCCACAAGGGCCTGCAGCGGCGGCGCCGGCCCCCGGAGCCTCTGTCCCGATCGGGGTCCCAGGAGGGCTCCCCGATGGAGGGCTCCCGGCCTGCTGCCCCCGCCGAGCCTGGCACACTTAAGACCAGCCTGGTGGCCACCCCAGGTCTGCCGCCCAGCAGTCCCGTCAGAGCTGGGGGGGCAGGGCGGCCCCCCATCTCAGTAAAGGGCGTGAGATGGGCAGAGGACGGAGCTACAGGGCGAGGACAAGCACTGGGGGTCCGGGAGGGAGAGGCGGGTGCGGGGAGAGGTGGAGTCCTCACCCCAGGCCCCCTGCAGGCATCGACAAGCTGACGGAGAAGTCCCAGGTATCAGAGGACGGCACAATCCGGTCCCTGCAGGCCTCAGCCGAGGTGGGTGCCAGCAGGGCAGCTGGCCATGCCCTTTCCCAGGGTGCTCCAGGGTGGACCCCAGGGACAGTGGCACTGCCCGACCTGGGAAGGGTGAGGTCCAGATCCCTCCCTGTGGCCGTGGCTACCTCATCCATCAGCCTTATCTGGGCTGTCAGCCCTGGCCCTGACCCTGTGGGAGGGCTGGGCACGGAGGGTGGAGGCCCAGGACAAAGGTGCCTGGCTGGGCTCACCCGAGCTATGGGAGCCAACCCTCCCTGACCACTGGCTGGACCGCGGGGCGACCTCCCCCCAATTCCTTCCCAGGACCAGGAACCCCCCCAGGCGTGGAGGGAACAGCGGCGGCTGTCCAGCGCATCCTCCAGCGGCCAGTGGAACCCCACGTCGGAGTGGGTGAGGGTCTGCCCGGGGCGCGCCTGCGGGCACAGCCCTGCCAGCGGCGCAGCCAGGCCCCCCGATTTCTGGGCCCCTCACCTCCTCCTGCTCCTTCCTCCCTGTCCGACTCCGGGGGTCCTGGGACAGGGATAGTTCCCGCCCCTTCGGAGGCTTCCCCCCACCCCCGCCCCTCCCCAGCCCGGGCTGTGGTGCCCCCTGCAGGTGCTCTCGTGGAAGTCCAAGCTGCCGCTGCAGACCATCATGCGACTGCTGCAAGTGCTGGTGCCACAGGTGGAGAAGATCTGCATCGACAAGTGAGGGCGGCCCCACTCAGCACGTGCGCATGCACGCATCCTGGCTCCCTTGGGCCCTGCAGGAGGGCGTGCCCTGCGTGCATGCTTGCGTGTGCTTGTGTGTGCTCGCACATGTGGGCTTGTGTGTATCCGGTTCCCCCAGACCTTCAGGAGGTAGTCCTGAGTGCATGTGCATATGTGCGTGCCTGCGTGCCGGCTCCTCCAGGCCCTCGGGAGGGCTAGCCCTGAGTACATGTGTGTGCGTGCGTGTCCGTGTGTGTGCCCGTGCACGCCGGCTCCCCCTGATCCTCGGGAGGGCTAGTCCTGAGTGCATGCGTGCGTGTGAGTGTGCGCGCGTGTGCATGCCGGCTTCCCCGGGCCCTCGGGAGGGCTAGCCATTAGTGCTAGTGTCTCGGACCCACTTTTTGGAGGTTTGACGCCTACGGCCAGGGTCGGAAGGCCGTCCCGCGCCTGCATGTGTCTGCGTGTGCATTGGCCGCACGAGCTCAAGGACACCCTCAGTGGGCTGTCCGGCCACCTTGGACCCGGTGTCCCCACAGGGGCTTGACGGATGAGTCAGAGATCCTGCGTTTCCTGCAGCACGGCACACTGGTGGGGCTGCTGCCCGTGCCCCACCCCATCCTCATTCGAAAGTACCAGGCCAACGCGGGCACCGCCATGTGGTTCCGGACGTACATGTGGGGAGTCATCTACCTGAGGTGGGTCGCTGTGCCCCACTCCCTCACCCGCCTGCTGCCCGCACCCTGCTGACCACCCTCACTGACTGCCCCCTCCTCCAGGAACGTGGACCCGCCCGTGTGGTACGACACCGATGTGAAACTGTTCGAGATCCAGCGGGTGTGACATGTCAGGGCGGCCCAGCTGCCCTCGGACCCGCTTTTGGAGCTTGATGCCTCCGGCCAGGGCTGGGCCACAGACATTCCTGGGGTGGACGGTGCAACTGGGCTCACACCGCCCCCAGACTGCACTCCAGGGGCACCCCGTCCTGGCCGCAGCCCCAACCTCTCTCCCTAGCCCGCCTCAAGATCCATTTCTGTGTGACCCAGAGACTCCGCGGGGTCAGTGGCCCAGTGGGCAGTGCCTGTTTCGGGGGCACCCTGCACCCTCTTTAGCCTGGCGGGAAAAGGAAAGCGTGGGGCCGGCGCATGCTCGGGGGCAAGGCCGCGGGAATCGTAGATATTTAAGGGCTGACAGAGAGGTTTGAGGGTTCCTCCTGACTGGAGAACCAGGGATGGGGGGGTCAGTCCTCTCTGCCCCCACCTGGATGGCTGGAGGGCTGAGCCGCCACCCCCACCCTAGTTGTTTGTCTGTACAATCCTTGCTGTGTACAATCTGCCTCTTCCCCAATAAACTCCCTCTCACACTCCGGCTCCCGGTGCTTGTTGGGAAGGGGTGGTTGGGGTCCAGCATTCCCCCCCCGCCCCCCGCCCGGAGTCAGCCTTCACACCTCAGAGCCAGCACAGGATTGGCACCGTTTTCTTGGGTATGACCATGGAAGCCCCTGGCCTGTGGTGCCCCTATGCCCCCGCTGGCCGGTACATTGTGGACCCCTGAAAAGACCCTTGGCAGGCAAGCAGTGGGGTCTGCCACACAGATCCTGTTTGTCCCCCAACCTCCTCCACACCCCACACTACTGGCCGTGAGCAGCTCCAGGGTGGTGATGGAGGCTACTGATCTAGGGGAGGGGTCCAGGGGTACACAGGGCCGCCCCTGAAGGGTCTGGGGCTGGGCTCTCAGAACCTTGGGCACAGCCCACTGATGGCCAAGCTCCAGGGTGTATTCCAGGACGGGTGCATCCAGGCCACCTGAGGGCACAGCTCTGCGGCGGGCCAGATGCACTGATCCAGGGCTCTGGAGAAGAGGTGCTAAGGACCCCAGGCCCTCCCCCTTCCGGCCCAGCCTTCCCTCCCCCTGCAGCCCCACCCCGGAGAACCGCCCCTTCCTCTTTCCCACCAGCTGGTCTTGGGGAACAAACAAATGTGCGGAGCCTGGGTGCAATTGATCAAACAGGGTTTATGGCAGCGCCAGGCTATTAGCCAGCTCATTAGTCACCAGCTGGGACAGTTTCCAGGGTGACCCACCCCATGCCACCCCAAAGGCCCCGGCTGCTTGGTGGAGGAAAGGCCCTCTTCAAACTCTTCAAGACTCAGTCGTGGAGAGTTTGGGGGTCCCCAGGCTGTGGAGCTGGGCAGAACCCCCGCCCCCGCCCAGACCGGGGTGTGAAGTATCCAGGCCCCACCCTTGGGCATGGGCTCCCCACCTTAGACACCTGGGGATGCACTGGGGACCCCAGCTTGATCCAGGCCTCCATGCTGCCCCCCCTCTTCATTTGTGGGCTGTCAGGGGTCTGATGGAGGTGGGGTCCCCTGGACGGCCTCAAGCCCCCAGGTAGACTTCCACCAGCGTCCCCACAGAATGCATGCGGTAGAAGACGCCCAGGGGCAGCCCAAAGTTGACAATGGTGAACCACGCGTGATAGCCGTAGAAATCCTTCTCCAGCCCGTTCTTGAACTCGGGGTGAATGCCAAACGCTGGCATCACCCACAGCTGTGGGGGGGGGGGGTAAGCACTCAGTGCGGGGGAGGGGGTTGGGGGGGCAGAGCGATAGCATGGCAGGGTGGGCGTCTGCCTTGCATATGGCCAACCCTGGTTTGATTCCCAGCATCCCATAGGGTCCCCCAAGCACCACCAGGAGTAATTACTGAGTGCAGAGCCAGGAGTAAGTAACCCCCCGTGCATCGCCAGGTGGGACCCAAAAAGCAAAAAAAAAAAGCACTCAGTGGGGGACAGCGTGTTCAGAGTCAGCCCCTCCTCCCCATCTCCCCCGAAGCCCCTCAGCACAGCGCCCTCCCTGGCCTGCTGGGCGATCCTCGGGGCTGCCCTGATCCCAGCCTCTGGCTTCTGCCATGGCAATCTGCCAGAGCTGGCGGCCCCAAACTCTGTCCCAATCCCATCCCATTCTCACAGCTCACTGCAAGCCTTCCAGAAGCTTCCCTGGTTGCGGGGCCCACCCGCCTGTCCCAGTGTTTCCACTGCCTGTTAGGGCCATGCATGATGTAGGCTCTGTGGGGTCAGGGCACTGTGTCCTGGATTCCGTGTTTAATCTAGGGAGGCTTTGGGTCTCCCTACTGGTCCCGGCCCTGCTTCCTGGCTTCGGGACCCAAGCCTCAGTTTCCTCAGCTGTAAGGCGGGAAGTGCCAGAGCTGTGATGATTTGGCCCGAGGCGCAGGGGCCTGGGGCCTCGGCCGACGGGCTGAACCCTCCTCACCAATACCTTCAACTCAAGACTCTTTAGGAAATCAGGCCCGTTCTCACGGCTTCCCTAGGCTGAAGTTAGTGAGCCACTGATTCTCGAGAAATTCCTTAACTGGTTGTCAAGAGCTCTCAGATCCAGGCTCGCCACAGTCACCTCTGCGGACCTTGCAGGGAGCCGGGGGATACTCTCAAGCAGTCTGGACCGAGTTGGAAAGAGGCTCGCATCTTCAGCGAGCCAAGGGATGCTCCCCTTGCCCCGGGGAAAGTTCAGCAGCTGGACCTGCGCCTTGATCCCGCCCTTCCTGCGTGAGGCTTTCTGGGGCGTGCCATCCCCACCCAGCCAGCCTGGCCCCACCACTCACCGTGATGTTGCAGAGGATGAGGAAAAAGGACACCTCCTTGAGCATCCGCCGCTTCCAGTTGAGGTTGCTGTAGGATTGGAGGTAGGCCGTCGAGAGGCGCCGGAGGTTCTGGCCCAAGTCCATGAGGGAGTGCCCCTCGTTCAGCTCCACCTCCGGCTTTAACGCATCCGGGCTGCGGGGCGCCGTCTCCCACAGCGGCTGGCGGTGCAGGTCCCCGATGATGAAGAGGTTCTGGAGCACATGCTGCAGCACGACCAGCAGCGAGTAGGCCAGGAGCAGGTCACTGAACTGCTCGTGGGAGCGGCTGGCCATGATGGCCACGAGGGAGAAGTAGGCGATGGCCATCTGGCCGATGGGCATGCCGAGCAGCAGCGCCACATCCAGGCTGCGCGTGGGGTTCTCCACCATGTCCAGCTCGCGCTCCTCCAGCTCATGGATGACCAGGCCCGTGAGGCAGGCCAGGCTCATGAGCAGCAGGATCGCCACGTAGAAGGCGTAGTACAGGGTGAAGTACCAGAGCGCAATGGAACTGCCGCTGGCCTGGATCTGGAAGAGCACAAAGACGAACACGCCCGCCACCATGGCCAGCGCGCCCAGCAGCGGCCCAAAGATGGCCCCCTGCATGCGGAAGGGCACGGCGTGCCGGGGCAGGGAGGCGTGGTGGGTCAGGCTGCGGCCCACGTTCTTCCACATGACGAAGAGCACCGTGCAGCAGATGAGGCAGTACTCGGTCCTGAAGGGGTAGAGCATCAGGAAGCCTTTCTGGAACACGTCGCACAACGTTCCGCTGGGGCACATACACTGGCTGCTGTTGGTGATGTTGCCTACGACGGGGCCTGGGAGGGGGACAGATGTTCATAGACCTGCTCCGGGGAGGCCCCCTGCACATGGGGTCTACCCCTCTCCTGCCAGTGGTGTGTGTGTGGGGGGGCACCCAGCTGCTCATTTGACAGATAGGCAGACTGAGGCCCAGAAGTAGATTCAGAAATCACAGGCCTGGGGCTGGAGCGATAGCACAATGGGTAGGGCGTCTGCCTCCCACTCGGCCGACCCGGGTTCGGTCCCCAGCATCCCATATGGTCCCTGAGCACCACCAGGAGTAATTCCTGAGTGCATGAGCCAGGAGGAAACCCTGAGCATCGCTGGGTATGACCCAAAAAAAAAGCAAAAAAAAATTAAAAAAAAAAAAAGAAAAATCACAGGCCTGGCCAGATTGGGTTTTTTTTTTAGTCTTTCTTTTTAAAAAATCGTATTTATTTATTTATCTATTTATTTTAGCTCTTTGGGTCATATCCGGCACTGCTCAGGGGTTACTCCTAGCCCTGCACTTAAGAATTACTCCTAGCGGTGCTCGGGGGGACCAAGTGGGCTGCCAGGGATCGAACCTGGGTTGGCTGCATGGTAGGCAAACACCCTCCTGGCTGTACTATCCCTCCAAACCCTCCTCTTTTCTCTTTTTTGGTTTTGGATCACACCTGGCGATGCTCAGAGGTTACCCCTGGCTCTACCCTTAGTAATTACTTCTGGTGGTGTTTGGGGGACACTATGGGATGCCGGGGATGGAAACCCAGTTGGTCACATGCAAGGCAAGACTCCAGCTGCTATACTATTGCTCTGGTCCCAAGGTAATTTTCACACCCAGCAGTGCTCAGGGGTCACTCCTGGCTCTCCTCTGCACTTATAAATCTCTCCAGGTGGTGTTCGGAGAGCCTTATGGAATGGTGGGGATCTAACCTGGTTGGTTGTGTGCAAGGCAAGTGCCCTCCCCACTGTGCTCTCGCCCCAGCCCCAGGGCCAGACACAGAGGCAGGAGGGGTTTGACTTGCATGCGGCCGGCTCCAGTTCCATCCCTGACACTGTGGGATTCCCACAGAGCCAGGTTGTCCCCATGCACCAACGGGTATGACTCAAAACTTCCATACTCACCCCCCCCCCCAAAAAGTGATCCATTCTTCAAGTTTCTAGGATGGGCGGGGACAGTGAGAATGGTAGGACACCACCACCAGGAAGCAACCTGGTATGCCTCCATGGTATTGGGAGAAAGAAACTAGAAGGGGCCGGAGCCATAGTACAGCGGGGGAGGGCATCTGCCTGGCACGCAGTCAGTCCGAGTTCGATCCTCGGCATCTCCTAGGTTCCCCCAGCACCTCCAGGCACTGAGTGCAGAGTCAGGAGGAACCCCCGACCACTGTTGGGTGTGTCCCCCCGCCCGTGCCTCCCCCCACATAAAAGAGACATAAAGCAGAGTTCACCCTGAACTTGGCAGACGCCGAGTCCTCGGCAGCAGGGGCGGGGGGACATGTGCATACACTCACAAACATATTGGGGGGCTGCTGGTCCCCTGGGTACCTGCCAACTTCTCACTGAATAGGTGCTCCTCGATCTCCAGATGCATGGAGTCGTTGGTGACCGCCAGGATCCAGAGCAGCAGGTTGGTGGCCAGGCTCAGCATGAGGCCACACCTGGAAGAGTGGGCGCATCTGCCAACCCCTGCATCCGCCTCAGCACCACCCTTGGGGTGAGCACTCTTCCCCAAGCCCACATCCCATCTGGGGGAGCTCACCCTAGGGACCACTGGGGTTACCTCATTTCCAGGACCACCAGACCAGGACAGATGGGGGGGCCGTGAACACTAGCAGTGAACTGGGGCTGGTGAGCCTCCCTTTACCTGGTGATGTTGGTCTGGACCTGAGCACAGTCCTTAGCGTGTTTCCAGAGCACCCAGGTCTGAAAGAGAGGGGACTTGAGCCCAGAGGCTGGTGTGGGGATGGGGGGGGGGGGGAACCATGGGCCATATCCCACTTGCTGGCCCTGTATTCATGGTGGAAGGCACGTGGAGGAAGCCAGGCTCCAACCGCCTCTTGCTGTGTGCTCCTGGCCGCAGTAGAGAAACCTCCTCCCACCTCAGTCATCCCAGCTCAAAAATGGGATCATGGGGATATGGAGGGCCAGAGCAATGGGACAGCAGGTAAGATGTTTGCCTCACATGCAACTAGACTGGGTTCATTCCCCAGCACCCCATATGGTTCCCCGAGCATGCCAGGCTGAACTCAGAGCCAGGGTGAGCCATAAGCACAGCTGAGTGTGTTCCCAAAGTCCCCAACCCATTAATAAAAATACTCGCATGGGAACATGATTGTTGCAGAAGGCCTGGTGGGAACAGGGATGTGGAAAGAAACTGGAGAACCATCACTAAAAACTCGCAGGGCCCGGGTGTCACCCACGGAGCACAGCAATGGCTTGTCAGTGTGGGGAACTGGGTGTGGCCCCCCGCATAGCTGCTGACAGGGCTGCAAGAAGGGCACAGCGGGCAGGGCGCCTGTCTTGTACTCAGCCGACTCGGGTTCAGTCCTGGCAGCACCAATGATCCCCGCGCCCCCATCAGGAGTGATTCCTAAGCACAGAGTCAGGAGCTAGTCCTGGAGTGGCCCAAAGCAAGCAAGAAAGAAAGAATGAAAGCAAGAAAGGAAGGAAGGAAAGGAAGGGAGGAAGGAAGGGAGGGAGGGAGTGAAGGAGGGAAGGAGAAGGAAGGGAGGGGGGGAGGAAGGGAGGGAGGAAGGAAGAAAGGAAGGAAGGAAGGAAGGAAGGAAGGAAGGAAAGAAGGAAGGGGGCTGGAGCGATAGCACAACGGGTAGGGCATTTGCCTTGGACACGGCTGACCAGGGTTCGATTCTGAGCATCCCATATGGTCCCCTGAGCACCGCCAGGCGTGATTCCTGAGTGCAGAGTCAGGAGTAACCACTGTACCTCGCTGGGTGTGATCCAAAAAGCAAAAAAAAAAAAAAAAAAAGGAAGGGACAGGGCAGAACAACCGTCCAGTGGGGAAGCATTTGCCTTGCACGCAGTCAACCTGGGTTCAATTCCCAGCATCCCATATAAGTCCTCTGAGCACCGTCAGGAGTGATCCCTGAGCGAAGAGCCAGGAGTCAGCCCTGAGCACCAGCAGGTGTGGCCCAACCCTCCCCAAAGCCAAGCAGAGGACTCCACTGCCTGCATTTCACGCGCCAGTGCGCGGCTGGAGCAAACAAGGGCACGCGGGCATGTGGAGGCCCCGGCTCCTGCCCTGGGGGTGTGTGCCAGTGGATGTCTCTAGGTCCACATCAGCTGTGAGTGCGCCCGTGGCCTTTCACCTGGACGCCGATGAAGACCATCTCGATGAAGGGCAAGACGAGCTCCAGCTGCTCCTTGCACTCCAAGTGGCTGACGCTGTAGCCCACCCGGAAGACGTTGAGGCAGATGGTGAAGCCACCGAACAGCACCAGGGAGCCTGGTGGTCCCAGACAGCGTTGGCACCTGCCCATCCCCAGGGCCCGCCCCTGTGTGTCCCCCTTCCCCCACCGAGCCCAAGCCCCAGTACTCACCCCTCACCCAGATGGATCCGGCATGCGTGTCCTGGAAGTTCACGGCCCAGGGCCGCTGCATGGCGCTCGCCATGTAGTAGAGGAACCAAAGGAGCGAGATGATCTTGCAGATGGCCAGCAGGATGCCCACCTCGTGCAGCGTGACGGCGCTGTTGAAGATCATGCTGCAGATGACGGCCGTGCCCAGCAGCACCACGTTGAGGCACAGGAGCCCCGAGAAGAGCTGGCCCGTCTGCTGGAGGTGGTGGTGGTGCTGAGCCCGCCGCGCAGCCAGCTGCTTCTCCTTCTGGCTCCTCTCCATCGCGCTCTCCTTGGTGGCTTCAGTCCCTCCGTAGTCCCACAGAGACCGGGTCCGAGCCTCAGAGAGGCCTGGGGAGGAGGGAAAGGGTCCGGGATGCCTCTCACTCCTGCCCCTGTGTGACTGCTGTGTGACCTAAGGTTGCCATCCAACCTTTCTGGTCAGGAAATTATAGCTTCCCGCAGGGGTGCATACTTGGCATGCATTGTAGGGGGGCTCAGCACTGCTGGGGTGGCCCTGGTGGTCTCCAGCACCCCAGGGTCTGGTCCCAGACACTCCAACCTTCTCATTGAACCACCCTGCTCAGTTGGCTGAGCGCCCTTGGGAGATGTCCCCACCCCAGAATTCTCTCTGATCTTTTGGTTTGGGGGTACACCTGGCTTGGGAATTACTCCTGGTGATGTTCAGGGTGCATCTGGGGTGCCAGGGATCAACCCCGGGCCAGGTGCGTGCAAGGCAGATGCCCTCCCTGCTGTCCTATCGCTCCAGCCCATCAAAATCCTCTTTTAAAACCTTGGCAAATGCCTATTGCACACTCCCTCCCCCAGCCCCCCTCTCCTCTCCCAGTAGGCCTCCAGGTGGGGATGTGTCTGACCCTGGCCAGCACCCGTCAAGGCCAGGAGCTGCACCAGAACCCAGAGCTGACCCCCCAGACTAGTTCACTGTGGACACATCACCTGTCTTGGCGACTGTCCCAGGGGAACATTCAGTACCAGTACCAGAGATCCTGTCCACATGCAGAGCTGGAGAGATCTTTCCAGAAGATCCTTAGGGCTCAAGCAATAGTACAGCGGGGAGAGCATTTGCCTTGTACGCAGCCAACCCAGGGTGGATCTCTGGCCTGCCAAATGGTCCCTGGGCCCCACCAAGAGTAATTCCTGAGCACAGAGCTCTGAGTTAGCCTGGGACAAGAACACTAGATACTCTGTATCTCCCCTCTCAAGCTCTCCCGCCCACACTGAGGACCCTGAGGCTTGCAGGGCCAGCCTGAGCCTTTCTGACTGTTCCTCAGCATCTTCATCCTCCTGAGGCAAGAAAAGCGGATGAAGGGGAACTCAGACTCCAGGCTGGGAAATGGTTCAGTGCACCGAGCGTTTGCTTTGCAGGTGGGGGCTCCGGCCGTGACCACCAGCACCCTGCTGGAGGAAGGGAGCTGGCAGGGAGCAGGAGCAAACTCTGCAGACACTCTGAGTCTCAGTTTCCCCATACGACTAGGGACGTGTGCCTGCTACACATCCCGTATTTCACACAGACTTCTTGGACCAATCTGTGAAGGCATGAATGTATAACAGCGCGGGGGGGGGGGGGGGTAGGGGGAGGGGGGTGGAAGTTGTTAGCACTCATATCTAGGGACCAGAGCAATACTACAGCAGGGAGGGCACTTGCCTTGCACACAGCAGACCCGGATTCGATCCCCAGCACCCCAAAGGGTCCCCAGAGCACCAGGAGGAGTAATTTCTGAGTGCAGGGCTAGGAGTAATTCCTCAGCACTGCCGAGTGTGACCCAAAACCAAACTACAAACAACCCTCCTCCCCCCAACTCATGATCTAACACACCCACGTGGAAGGTTTTGGGCTCCCGGGTTCCTGGGTTTCCTGTGAGGATTGAGGGGGCGGCGTTGTGCAGGAATTTGGGGTTTTGGACCCAGGCCTAGAGGGAGCCCTGGGGAACGAGAGTCAGGGGCTCCTGCCAGGTCCCGCCCCTGTCTCCCCTGCTCCCCCCAAGCCGTTCCCCCACAATGTCTGCTAGCGGGAGTGTCAGAGAGGAATGGGAGATACAACCTTAGCGCACTTACCTGCATGAGGCACACCCGGGGTCCACCCCCTGGTACCACATCGTGTCTCCTGAGCACAGAGCCAGGAATAATCCCTGAGCACCACAGGATGTGTCTCCAAAACCAAACCCCACCCCCCCTAAACTAAACAGAAAAAAGATTAGGGGGGGGGAACTGTAGGATGGAGAAAGGGCAGGGGTGTCAGGACATTGGGGGCAGGAGGCTGGTGTACCCCTCGGCTCTGCCAGGCCAAGGGAAGGTCCCCACATCAATTTGTGGGTCTCGGGGCCCACCCCAAGCTGCGCAGGGTCAGGCCGCTGACCAGAACTTTGGAGGTTTCTCCCTGGGCCTCTGGAGGGGGTTGGGGAGCATCTCTGGGCCGGAGGCTGCCCACAGCTGTGCCAACGCCTCACCCCTTCCCCAGTGGGTTTCAGCTTCTTTCTGCCCCGGGAGCCTCTTTGCGGCCCGGCTGCGCCCAGCAGTCCTGGGACGGGGGCGCCGAGCTGGGGTGCGCCGGCCTCCCACTGCGGAGCCCCCAGGGGACGAGCAGGCGCACCTGGGGGGCCCTACCTGAGACCTTCACCGCAGACTGACCCCGACGCGGCCTGGGCGCTGATCGAACAGTCCCGAGCCCCTCCACCGTTGCCCCCAACGCCCTCCCCCCGCGACCCCGCGCAGCCGCAGTCAGCAGTCGGGGGGCCCATAGATTGTTCTGTTGACTTTGGGGCCTCATTAATCCTTCGCTAATTACCCACTGGCGGCAGCGTGGGCGGGGCAGGCAGGGGCGGGGCGAGGGCGGGGCGGGGTCCTCTTGCTGCCCCTCGGTGGGAAGGAGGCTGGGGCTGCCGACCCTGCTCTGCCTCCCGAGTGCAGGTCAGGAAGGAGAGCCCCTAGACTCACCTCCTGCCTGGGTGCGGCCCCCCCCACCCCGCAACCCCAAAGGTCCCCACCGGCTTCCTCTTCTCCCACCCAGCTGCCCACCCAAGGGACCCCCCCCTTCACTGGAATCTCGCCCTCCCCCCAGTCCCTTCTGGTCTAGACACTGGAGCCTCTTTTATGTTGTTTTTCTGAGTCACAGGCTCTGCGTTCAGGAGTCACTCCTGGTGGAGCTTGGGGGACCCTATAAGGGTGCTGGGGATTGAACCCAGGTCAGCTGCGTGCAAGGCAAGTGCCCTCCAGCTCCTGCGGTCTCTCTCCTCTCTCTCCTTCTCTCTCTCTCTCTCTCTCTCTCTCTCTCTCTCTCTCTCTCTCCTCTTTCCTCTCTCCGGCCACCTCTTCCTCCTCTCTCCTTCTTCCCCGTTTGTCTCTCCCAGCTAAGACCATCCCTGACTCTCTCCCCCCAACATCCCCAGCCCTCTCCGGTGACAATACCCCAGGTGGTATTTGGGGTTCCCCAAATACTTTATTTGAGGGGGAGAAAAAGTTCAGCTGCTTAAAAAACATTGACAGTTCTCAGTAGAATACTTACGCTTTGAGCTGTGTGACCCTGGGCAAGTCCCTTTCCCCAGGAGCCACACCTGATGGTGCTCAGGAGTTACTCCCCACTTAGTGCTCGGGGGGCTGTTTGTGGGAGTGCTTCGGGGATCGTGCAGAGAGCCAGGGATGAAACCCAGGCCTCAGGCATGCCATGCCTGCACTCAGCCTCTTTTTTTTTTCTTTTGGGGTCACACCCAGGGATGCACAGGGGTTATTTCTGGCTCTGCACTTAGGAATTACTCCTGGTTGTACTCGGGGTGGGGGACCATATGCTGGAAATCTTACCAGGTCAGCCTCCGGCCTCCCTACCCACTGTGCCATTGCTCCAGCCCCCTGCACTCAGTCTCTTAATTTGTCTCCCTCAGCTCCTGCTTTGTAAAATGGTGGGTGGGTCTGGTGGTTCCTTCTCAAACTTCAGTGGCTCGCACACAGAAAATAACCTGTTCTTGTTGCTTGAGGATACAGGGAAGGGGAAGCCGAGGACCCCGCCAGCACCCCTGGGCCCCGTGACTTTAGCTTGTCTGTATCTTGCCCTCTAAGCTGGAAACCTGAAAATTCCCAGAAGCCCTTCCAGCCCGGAGCGCCCTCTCCTCTCCCCGCGCACTCAGAACCTTCCATCATGTTGGGGGTGGGGGGTGGCTGAATCAGGAATTCAGGGCCAGTGAGGGTGACCATCAGGTTTATTGGTTGGGGTTAGGGGCAGAGCTGAGAGGCTGCCTCCCTGGGGTGGGGGTGGAGCGGAGGTGGCAGGGTAGGCGTGAGGTGGGGGGGGGGTGCGGGATTGTGCTTTAAAAACTCGTCCTGGAAAAATAGCTCTTGTGAAAACTCCACTCAGGGCCCAGCGGGGACGCTCGTGGTCAGGAGAGCACGTAGACCTCCAGCAGGCTGGACACGGCGTGCATGCGGTAGAAGATGCCGAAGGGCAGGCAGACGTTGACGATGGCAGCCCACAGCGAGTAGCCATAGAAGTCCACCTCCACCGTGTTGCTGAAGTGTGGGCGGGCCCCGAAGGCGGGCATGACCCACAGCTGCGGGGAGAGAGGCGTGTCACTTCTGTGGCCTTGGTGGGTCCCTGGAGTTTGGGGCCTGGGTGCTGCTGGGACTTCTGGTGTCTTGGGCAGAGCCTAGAGCACCCCCAGATGTTGGGGTGAGCTTGCCCACCCCAGACTAGGGCTCCCATCTTCCCCTCCCTTAGTGTGGCCCCACTTGGGGGTCTCAGTGACTGAGTGGGGAGTAGAACAAATGACTGCATGTTTTCCCCTGAGGAGGGGTGTGAGGGGCGGGGAGGACAAGATGCCCCGCGGACCACCCACAGGCCGTGGTTCTCACGGAGAGGCAGTGGGCGTCAGCCTTTATCCACCTGAAGCCCAGCACTGGTGTGTGGACCCCTGGGCTGCCCCTCCCAGCTCTGGGCTCTACTGCTGCTTAAGGAAATCGGGACTTGGGGGCCGGAGTGACAGTACAGTGGGGTGGGCATTTGCCTTACATGTGGCCAACCCAGGTTTGATCCCCGGCATCCCATAGGGTCTCCCAAGCACCACCAGGAGTGATTCCTCAGTGCAGAGCCAGGAGTAACGAAGTAATCCCTGAGCATGTCTGGGTGTAACCCAAAAAGCAAAAAAAAAAAAAAAAAAGAAAATCGGGAACACCTTACCACTTTTTAGTTTTTGGATGCTACAAGGGATGCAGGGCATAGAACTCAGGGTCACTGCACCCAGAGCATGTGCTCTAGCCCTTTGAGCCTCTCCCCAGCCCCCACTCATGTTGGTTTTGGGGATTACATCTAGCAGTGCTCAGGGGTTATTCCCAGCTCTGTACTCAGAAGTCACTCCTGGCCATGGTCAAGGGGGTCGTTTGTAATGCCAGGGATTCGAACTGGGGCTGGCTGTGTGCAAGGCAAGCGCTGTAACCCTGTCCTGCCTCTCCAGCCCTTCCTCTTTGTCTGTTGGTCACACCCAGTGGCGCTCAGGGCTGACTTCTGACACTGTGCTCAGGGATCCCTCCTGACGGGGCTCAGGGGACCCCATGGGGTTTCGGGGATCGAACCTGGGTTGGCCAGGTGCAACACAAGCACTTCTTGCCTTTTGGTTTTGGCTTTGATTTTGGGGGGATCACAGTGGTTGTTGTTCAGGGCTGACCCCTGGCACTATACTCACGGATCATTTCTCATGGGGCTCGGAATATGGTACCAGGTTGGCCACAGGCAAGGCCCCCTTATTTTGCTTTTTTTTCTTTTTGGGTCACACCCAGCGATGCACAGGGGCTATTTCTGGCTCATGCAAAATTACTCCTGGCAGTGCTCAGGGAACCATATGGGATGCTGGGAATTGAACCCAGGTCAGCTGCGTGCAAGGCAAATGCCCTACCCGCTGTACTATCGCTCCAGCCCCTATATTGCTTTTTTTAAAGCTCACCCTTATTTGGTTTTATTCACAGTGGGAACAAATCTCAGAATGTCTGTTGGTGCAGGTGAAACTGGGGGTGTATTCTGTTTGGGGACGGACCCACATACCAGCTTTGGCAGGGTCTCTGGTGTTCTGTCAGGACATGCAGTGGTACAGGGTCTGCCTTCCGGAGGGGCTACTCTTAGGAAAAAGCCAGGCTGGATCCAGGGGTGTGGGTGGAGGAGCCCCCTCCCAATCTGCCTCTGGCTACTGAAATGCTCACATTTACACTTACACTGGTCGCTGCCACTTCCTGAGGCTGCTCCAATTATTCTGAGATGAGGGTTGGTCACAAGTTCCGGGAAGCTGTCACACCTCCCAGCGGGGCCCCAGCCCCCAGCCCTCTGCAGCCCCAACCTACTGTTCCCTCCTCTTCACCAGCCCCCCCCAGCAGCACCCTCTGCTGCTTACATGCCAGCACCTGCAAAGGCATTTTCTCCTGTGCCCCAGTCGCTGTTTGACCTTCAGGCTACCTTGACCCTCTCTGATCCAGCCCCCTTCCTAGAGATGGAGGAGGGGGGTGCAGATGAATATACCTAAAGGCTCCCCCTGCGATCCGCGGCACTGTGGCTTCTCTTCCCTCCCCCCATTACTCACAATGACGTTGCAGAGCAGAAGAAAGAGAGAGATGTCCTTCAGGCACCGGCGTCTCCAGTGCGTCTTGGGTGGCAAGATGACGTCCACTGCCTCCCCTGGATGCTGCACCCCACCGGGGTCCACCAGCCCCGGGGTGGACGAGCAGGCGGGCAAGGTGTGGAGGGCATCCAGGTTGGCAAAAGTCAGGCCCTGGCAGGGCTCCTTGGTGGTGGGATGCGGGGGCTCCTCCGTGGGGGGCCCCCGGTGGAGGCTTTCGATGATGAACACGTTCTGGGAGGTGTGCTGGGCGATCATGACCAGCGCGTGGGCCAGGTTGAGCGCCGCCAGCAGATCCCTGGGGGTGCCCACCACCACGGCCACGATGGAGTAGTAGGAGATGGCGTACTGGCCCAGCGCGGCGCCCATCAGCAGGGCCACGTCCAGGGTGCGCGTTGGGTTCTTGTGGTGGTCCATGGCGCGGCGATCAAACCGGTAGATGACCGAGCCACTGAGGCTGACCAAGGTCATGAGTCCCAGGCACACGATGTTGAAGCTGTAGTAGGCGACCAAGGCCTGCTGCGTGCGCGCCCCCTCCCCGCTCACTTGGACCTCGTAGATGATGAACACGGCCAGGCCCACCACGAAGAGCAGCAGCCCCAGCACGGGACCTGCGAAGAACGTCTCCCGGAAGACGCTGGGCCGGGCGTGGGCGTGGGCGTGGGTGTGACTGTGGGCCTGGGTGTGGCTGTGGGCGTGGTCGCGGCCAGGGGCGTGGTCTTGGCTGGAGGCGTGGTCTTGATCTGGGGCATGGCCTAGGTCGGGGACAGGGCCTGCCAGAAACCGGCCCACGTTCTTCCACATGACGTAGAGCATGGTGGAGGCGAAGAGGCTGTACTCGATGTTGAAGGGGTACAGGTAGAAGTAGCCCTGCTGGAAGATCTGGCAGATGGCTGTCTTGCACTCACACTGGTCTCCTGCCGCATCGCCTGCTCGCTTCGCTGCAGAGAAAGGAGTGCAGAGTTGCCCACCCACCTCCCTGCAGGGGCTCCCTCAGTCCGCTTGTTTGGGTTTTGATATTTTGGGGGGGATGGGAGGTGGAGGTGCACAACCCACCTTACTCTTACTCTTGGCTCTACCTTCAAGGGCTTACTCTTGGCTCTACCTTCAAGGATCACTTCTGGCTGGGTGCAGGGTGCTAGGTGATGCTGGGATTCGAACCTGGGTCAGCCATATGCAAGGCAAGTGCCTTACCCTTCCGGCTCAGAATAGCTTAGGGGTCAAGAAGGGTCTTTGAGTTCTGGGGCCTTGGGTGAACTACTTGACCTCTCCTGCTTGAGTGTTTTCATCTGTCCAATGGGTATTTCTGTGCAATGGAGTCCATTTCTCTGAGACTGTGTGAGACACAGCCAGTGCTCACTGGTCACTGTTGCTGTGGGCTGAGCCTGTCTGTCCTTCTGGCCATGCTCTCCATCTCACTATAGGGCATCAGGCTAACCAGTGTCCTTCCCTTCTCCCCGGCTAGACCATCCTTGCCCCTTGGGGAACAGAGATCTGAAAAGCAGGGCCGAGGCTGCAGGACGGGCAAATCTCCTCAGGGCTCACCCACCCGCCCTCCTTCCTCTTGTGAGGCTGGAGCATCAGGGGTCGTCTGGCCTCTGCTTATGTCTCTGTGTCCTTGTTAGGACACAGAGATGGTGGGGACAAGCCCCTGAGCCTTGGCTGAGGCCTGGGCAGCTGTAGGCTTGCGGGAAATGGGCACTCACGGTTGGGCGCGAGGCGGGAGTAGCTGGCGTTGCCATGGGACGTGATGTAGCTGTGGGCCTGGTGCATCGACTCATCCACCACGGCAGCCATCCAGATGGCCAGGTTGGTGGTGAGCGTGAACATGAGGCCACACCTGTGTAGGCAAAGTGACTGTGAGGGTCTGGCTCCCCTTGGGGCCCTGGGGAGGAGGTGATGAGGAGAAGCAGGAAAGCAGGTTGGCTCATGCACAGGGAAGTGGGTCCTTCTTGAGCTGCCAGCTGCACCCAAGAGAGCGCCCCAGGGGCTGCAGGAAGGACAGAGCCAGCCAGACTGCCCAGGCCGCTGAAACACATTCAGTACACACACCCAGACACATAACTCACTCCCACACACACACTCAGACACACACTCACGTCCCCCCCCACATTCTGACAGACACAGACATTCAGTCACACACTCACGCCCAGGTACACACCCAGACACACACCCAGACACACACTCATGCCCAGACACACATTCACACCCCTACACACACTCACACACACACTCACATCCAGTCACACGCTCACGCTCACACACACACCCAGACACAGACACACTCGCGCCACACAAACTCATGCCCAGGTACACACCAGACACACACCTAGGCACACACACACTCACACCAGACACACACTCAGACACACACACTCTCGCCCAGATACACACCCAGACACACACACACCCAGACACAATCACGTCCAGACACACACATGCCCAGACACATACTCAGACACACACACACTCAATCCAGTCACATACTCATGCCCAGATACACACCCAGACACACACCCCCAGTCACACACTCATGCTCAGACACACATGCCCTCACATACACTCATACCCACACATACACTCAGACACACACACACTCACATCCAGTCACACATTGATGCTCAGATACATACCCAGACACACACACGCCCACACACACTCACGCTCAGACACACACTCATGCCCAGGTACACACCCAGACACACACTCAGACACACATACACTCATATCCAGTCACACATCGATGCTCAGACACACACCCAGACACACACTCAGACACACATACACTCATATCCAGCCACACATCGATGCTCAGACACACACCCAGACACACACACCCACACACACACACAATTATGCCCAGGTACACACCCAGACACACACTCAGACACACACACTCACGCCCGCACATACTCAGACACACACAATCCAGTCACACACTCATGCCCAGATACACACCCAGACACACACACACCCAGTCACACACTCATGCTCAGACACACATGCCCACACACACTCAGACACACACTTATGCCCAGAAACACACTCACAGGGCTGGGGAGAGAGCACAGCGGGTAGGGTGTTTACCTTGCACGTGGCCAACCCAGATTCGATTCCCAGAAATCCCATATGGTCCCCTGAGCACCACCAGGAGTTAACTCCTGAGTGCAGAGCTAGGAGTAAGCCCTGTGCATCACTGGGTGTGACCCAAAAAGCAAAAAAAAAACAGAAACACACTCACGCCAGACACACACCCAGACATACACTCATGTCCACACACACACTCACACCAAGATACATACCCAGATACACACACTCACACCCAGTCACACACTCACTCTCAGACACACACTCACGCCCAGACACATACTCACCAGGTACACACTCACACCCAGACACATACACTCACATCCAGTCACACTCATACCCAGTCACACTCACACCCAGTATGCATTCACACTCAGATACACATTTATATACAGATACACACTCATACCCAGGCATACAATCACACAGACACACCCACAGACACTCAGTCCCAGACACACTCATCCAGAGACATACACCCAGACACACTCTCACACTCAGACACACACTCGAACACAACTCACCCCAGACAAACCAAGACACATGCTCAGACACACACAGAAACACTCACATGTACACAGTTACACAACCAGATACAAACAACGTACATAGATATGCATAAACATCCAGATATGCACTCACAGTTACAACAGTTACACTCACACTCATCTAGATGCAAACTCACATACTCATATACACACTTAGACACACACAGAACACTCAACCATATACACACCCACCCAGATACACACTCGCCTATACACACTCAGAGAAACACACTCCATCAGACACACACACATTCATATACATACATACTCACATATTTACAGACACATACATACTCATACACACATATACAAAATATATACACACAGAGAACGCATTGACAGAACTCATCTAGGACACAAAGGCACACAAGCACACACAAACACATATATACACATACATGTAACACACATACAAAACTTATCTTCACATACACAGAAGCATACATTCACATACCTACACATACACAATACACACTCATGCACACATAGACACAGGGTGCTAGGAGCAGCTGACAAAGCGGGAGTCCTGGACTGAAGGAGAGTCCAGGGGCCAGAGCAGAGCCAGGCCCAATGGGAGAGACCCCATGCAGAGTGGGCACAGTCACCCCCAGCAGAGGCAGGCGCTGGCCTGGGCACTCACCGGGTCAGATCCAGGTGGACGTGAACACAGTCTTTAGCGGAGACCCAGAGAAAGTAAGTCTGAGTTGAGAGAGAGCGGGGGTCATTTACCTGGATTTGGGCCGAGCCTTCAGCTGATTTAGCTTTAAGCACTTCCCTCTTTCTAGTTCATGGGGCACTGTAGCACTGTAGCACTGTCCTCCCATTGTTCATCAATTGCTCGAGTGAGCACCAGTAACGTCTCCATTGTGAGACTTGTTACTGTTTTTTGGCATATTGAATACCCCATGGGGAGCTTTCCATGTTCTGTTGTGCGGGTGGGATACTCTCGGTAGCTTGCCGGGCTCTCGGAGAAGGACGGAGGAATCGAACCTGGGTTAGCCGGGTGCAAGTCAAACGCCCTACCCGCTGTGCTATTGCTCCAGCTCTAGCCCAGTCTATGGGGCAAATAGTATAAATAGGTTTTCTCTAACACCAACCATTTTGCGGGGAGGGTCTCCCCAGCAGTGTTCAGAACTCTGGGGCCACCACTCCTGCCAACACCTGGTCTAGCAGTACAGGTGGGTGTGGGATGCTGGGATTGAACTCAGGCCCTAACTCATGCAAAAATGTGAGCCACCCTTTGGGTTCCCTTCTCTATTTTATTATTGCTGTTATTATTAGCAACACCCAGCAATGCTCAGAGGTTACTCCTGGCTCTGTACTGTACCCAGGGATCACTCCTGGTGGTGTGCAGGGGACCATATGGGATGACGGAGAGCAAACCCCAGTCAGCCACGTGCAAGGGAACCTCTCTATCCACTGCACTATGGCTCCGGCCCCATCTCCGATTTTTAAACACTTGCAAAGTCACCTGCAACTCTGTCTGGTATTGGAATTTTCTATTTGTTGTGGTCAGGAACAACAGAAATCTAGTTTTGCCTCCCTTCTTTCCGATTCCTGGGGGAAAGGCCAGGCACAGGGCCCAGTATCAAGAAACCCTAGGTTTCTCATCTTCCTTGGCCACGCCCCCTCACCCGGCTCCACCCTCAGCTCATCTGGCTGCCTCTGAAATCCGGCTCGGAGATTGACCCATGTGAGATCTGGGCATTTGCCTTTCACTTGATTAGTTGTCACACCCATAAAATGGAAGGTCAAAATAATATAAATGCCAAGTTATCAGAGTGTTGTTAGAAACAGGGGCGGGGTGTGGGTAATGTCTCAGGGGAGACGCTAGGGTCAGTTTCATGATGATAAAGGGTCTTCTCCGGCCTCAGGTGACACCAGTCCTGCCTGGGCTCCATTGGAAGATCTTTCCAATAGGAGGTGGGGGGGGGGGGGAAAGGAGCAAGATATGAACTTGTTTAAAGAATCCCAGAGAGAGGATAAGCTATTTCTAGGACAGATGCATATCACCCAGAGGAGGCAAGACTGAGGTCAGAAAGCGGCTGACACTCATGCCCTCTGCGGGCATACAGGGAGTCCAGGCCAACTGCTGCAATGCACACCTCCCGGGTGTTAACAAGCACCGCTCGAACGCAAAAATAAAACTGCACGGCTCCTACGCATGAGCTCACACGGGGCTCTGAGCTCGTGACTGAGCTCCCAGAAGTGCGAACCCCGAGGATTCCCATTGCAGCCCTGACTTATTTCACAGAATGGCCGAGGGGAAGTGGGCAGTGGAGCTCAGGCCTTCAGATCCCATGCCAAGGTTTTTTTTCTTTTTTTGGGGGGGCACACCCATTAGTGCTCAGGGCTTAGTCCTGGATCTTCACTCTGGAATCACTCTTGGCCAGCCTTGGGGGACCATATGTGGTGTCGGGGATCAAACCTGGGTCGGCCATATGCAAGGCAAGTGCCTTCCCCACTGTTCTTCTGCTCCCGGCCCAGGTGTTCTTTACCACTTTCCTACCTACCCACCTGGACAATGACAAACACCGCCTGGGTGAGTGGGTGCAAGATCTTGATGGCCGACTGACATTCAAAGAAACTGGAGTAGTAACCCGTCTTGAAGACATCCATGACTAAAGTGCAGATTCCAAAAAGCACCAGCCCACCTGGGAAAGAGGGGTGCAGAGTGGATCAGAGAGGCAGGAGAATTTTTTTTAACGTCAGGATGGGTGGCTGAGTGGAGAAGTGATTGGGTGGGTGGGTGGGTGGAGGGGTGAATGGACAGATGGGTGGGTGGATAGATGGATGGAGGATGGACAAGTGATTGGATGGGTGGAGAGATGGATGAATGTAGAGATGGGTGGTTGGAGGAGAAACCATTGAATGCGTGAGTGGAGGGATGGATGATGATGGGTAAGTTATTGGATAGGTGGATGGATGCTAGGTGAGTGATGGATGGTTGGATATGGATGGATGGTTGGGCGGATGGACAGATGGATGGTTGAAAGATGAATAGGAGGGCAGAGTGAGTGTGTGGCTGAGTAGGTGGGTGGATGGATGCCCTGTGGAACTCCATCCTTCGGAGACTGCATTCGCATTTGTGAGGATGAGGGAGAGCTCATTTGAGAGGTGCCTTGGAGGCTCTTTCCACCTGTAAATGAATAAGAAGTTCCCCTTCCTCCTCCCTCAACCAGGACTCAGCCTTCCTGTGCTTCGGTCACTTTCAGTCCCGCGGGGGCTCCCTCTGGCCCTTCCCTCCTCCAAGAGTCCCAGCCCCCGGCTCTGCAGGGGCCCGGCCCCTCCGCCCCCAGCGTCCCGCAGCCACCTCGCAGCCAGATGGGGCCGGCGTGCGCGTCGCGGTAGGGCACGGCGCCGGGGCTGCGCGCGGTGCCCAGGAGGTAGAAGAGGATCCAGAGCGCGGCCAGCAGCATCATGGTGGTGAGCAGCGCGAACACGTCGGTGTCGTACACCGCCACCTTGTTGAAGGCGCCGCCGCTGATGAGCGTGCAGGCCAGGAGCAGCACGTTGACGGCCAGCAGCACGGACAGCAGACGGCCCCCCTTCTTCCACACCTCGCGGGGGGCGGCCCGCGGCGCTGGCGGCCTCTCCTTGGGGGCCGCGGCCAGCTCCTCGGACATGGCAGGGGCGACTGGAGGAGGTTGCCGGGGTCACTGTGGGGGAGGAGAGGACAGAAGGACCCCTCAAGTTAACCCCAGGTCAGCCCCAGGGCGGAGGGCGCCTTTTCCTCCAGCCTCGCAGCCCAAGGTCGACTCCGCCGGACCGGGGAGCTCCTGACCCGCGCGCCGGGCGAGGGGCCGCGGGAGGGCGGAACCGGCTCTGGGGAAGTTTCGGAGGAGATGGAGCGAGCTCGAGGAGCTCGTCCAGGGGCCCCAGTTCAGCACCTTGCGGCCGTCGGGCCTGCTGCACCCACCTGGCTAGGCCGGGAGCCCGCGAGGAGCAGGGGGTCAGCGGGCGGCGAGCGAGTCCTCTCTTCCCCGCGGGGTTGGACGGGCGCTTTATACCGGGGCGCGCAGGACGATTTACAGCCGCGGGAGCTCAGCTCCATAAACCTCTCAGTCCCGCTCACATGATCCATCTTTTCTGCGAGCTGAATTTAGGGAAGAGCGCGCGGGAGCCAGATAAGGTGAGACTTATATTACGGGTTAAGAGGCGCCCCCACCCTCGCCGCCCTGTCACCTCCGCGCCGCCAAGCCGGGGCGCGGCCCTGCACTGCGGCACGCCGAGGGCACCCCGCTTCCCTCTCCCCGGCGTCCCCAGTGCCCGGGCGCCCCACGATCCCAAGCACCCGGGACCCTAAGAACGGCGGCCCCACAGACGCCCCCGGGGCCCCGCGGACACCCGGACGCGCTGCCGGTCCTGGCGCGCGGGCGCGACCCCTCGGTGCGCCTCCGTGACCGTACCGCGATCGGGACCCCGGCCCCCCTTTCCCAGGCTCCCTCACTGGGGTCCAAGTTCTTACTTCCTCGCTCCGCCCCCCACCTCCCTTCCTCGGCGCCGGGGAGGCTGCGAAACCCTACGCGGATGCCAAGTGGCCGGCGCGCGCGGGGCGCTCCGGGTCTGCAGCGCCCCCTGCTGGAGCGCCGCTGACCGGCCGTGCGCCGGAGGGTGGCGTCCAGCTCGCTGTCCGTCGGCGTGTCTGTCCTCTGGCCACCCCTCGCCCCGCGGTCCCGGGGGTCCGCATTGACCTCGCACACTCCCCTCCCCGGCCCTTGGGCCGTTCCCGGGGCAGGTGGCACCGTCGGGGGCCGCAGAGGTTAGACTCGCGCGGTCCTGCGCGCCGGGGCGTGGCGCGGGGCTCCCCCGGGGACTCGGGCTGCAGAGCGCCGGGCCCCCGCCGACGGCTCTCCGGTGTTTAGGACCCAGGGGCGGCCGGGGGCGGGCCCTGGACGGCGGGCGGGCCTCCGCGGCCTCCGCCCGGCCGCACGGCTCAGGTGTCCGAGGAGCCGCGATTCTGCTCCGCGCATCCGCCGGCGGCGCCAGCGGGGGAGCTGGAGGCCCGGGCCCGGCCCCCTCCGCCACCCCATGCCTCGGCCCTAACCCCGCCGCCCTCCCTCGTGGGGGGCACTCCCCCGCGCCCCGGCCCAGTCGGAAGCCATGAACGACCAGTACCACCGGGCCGCCCGCGACGGCTACCTGGAGCTCCTGAAGGAGGCCACCCGCAAGGAGCTGAACGCCCCCGACGAGGATGGCATGACGCCCACCCTCTGGGCTGCCTACCACGGCAACCTGGAGTCCCTGCGCCTCATCGTGAGCCGGGGGTGAGTGCCGGCCACCAGACCCTCTCCCCAGCCTCTCCCCTGCCCAGCACCCCCTCTCCTGACCCCCAGGCCCTAAAGCGGGGTCTTGGGGTCGATTTGTGGGAGATGCCAAGACTCGGGGCTCCTATGAGTGGGGCGGGGTGCTCGGAGAGGAGGGGGCTGCATTTTGAGGGCTCACCACTGCGGATGGGAGACTGGGGCTCCTGGGAGCCATAGTGAGGGGCAGGAGAGGGGGTCTCATGGAAGACAGGGGTCCTGGCAGCCTCAGCCCCTCTGGCCCTAGCCAGCCCCTAGTGCCCTCCCCCACCCACCCCGCTGCTGGTCCTGGGATTTATGGGTCCCTGCGCCAGTACCAAATGTCCCTGGGTTCATTAACACTGCCTCTCCCCCATGACAGCTGAGCAATGGGGTGTCTGGGGTGCTCTGCCCTGTAAGTGCTCTCTCACCCTCCCTGTGGATTTGGGAGGCAGCAGTAGGTGTGGATTGGGGGTTAGGACCCTGGAGGAAGTGGTGCAGTGTAAAGCCCCCTCCCCAGAAGTTTACCCAGAATCAAAGTTCGGGGTGACCTGGGATGGGCACTTGCCATGTCAGGGGTGTCCCCTGAGGCTGGTGAGGAATTTCTCAGCCCCCAAGTGGTGGTGAGGGGCAGGGGCCCAGCTGGTCCTATTGGCAGCAGCTACTGCTGGCCCGAGTTTGTGGGGGGTGGGCGACGCCCAGAGCCTTGCCGCTGGTCTGCCAGAGCCCCCAGAGCCCAGCCCCCATGGCCAGGCAGCAGAGTGTGCCCATGCCAGGTGGGCACATGGGGATCCTGCCCCCACCAGAGATCCAAGAGGGAGGCGGGGGTGGCCCTCCTTGCAACAGCTCCTCAAACCCAGCCGGGTAAGGCTGGGGCTTGATGGGGAGTGGGACAGATGCCCACCAGCCCCCACTGCTGCCAGATTTGGCCAGTAGAGGGAATTGTGAGTGAACCTCTGAGAAAGGGGGGGCATTCTTCCCCCAGAACAGCGGGGTGACCTGGTGGCCTCATTTGTGAGGGGTGGAGGCTCTGCCTGGGCCCCCGAGGGAGAGGAGAGCTTGGAGGAGCTATGGGAAGCTCAGCCTGAGGAGGATGGGGGGCTCTCTGCTGTGGAGGGGGCAGGCAGGGCCCCTGAACCGGTTCGCTGGTCCCAGCCCCGGGAGGGGCAGATGGCGGGCCTAACCGACTGCCCTCCCCGCCCCGTCCAGTGCTGGCTGCCCCCACGCTCCCCTCCGGGCCCAGGCCAAGACCCGACACCTACTCTCACACGCGGGCTTGCCAGGCCTGGCCCTGCTCCCTGCAGGCTGGGCCGTGCCCGCTGACACTCAGGGCAGACACCCACCTTGACACACACTCACCGGGGTTGCGCCCTGCACAGCCCCCCGGGGTTCGCCATCACGGTCCTTCCCCCCCACACAACCACCCCACGCCTGCCTAGAGACCCAGGCTGGTCCCTGGCCCACCACCTCTCTGGGCCAGCTCCCCGCTGAGCGCCATGAATAATTCACTCCTTTCTCTCTGGGCATCAAATATTTATCCCCTGTGATTCCCAGGCCGCAGGTCTGCGGAGGCTCCGCCCACGTGGCCCCGCCCACAAACAACACGCCCACACCCGTAGCCACGCCCCTAGCGGTGGCCCCGCCCTCCGCGTGCAGGGCTGGTTTCTCCTGGGCTTGCAATGGGTGTGGGGTGTTGGGGGTGGGGGGAAGGTAGGAGAGCTGCGTGTGTCCCGCAATCCGAGGGGAGATATCAGGCCCAGTGTCCCTCTGCCGCTGGGGACCTCCCCACCCCTCAGGCCACGATCCGTGACCTGCCCTATCTGGCCCCGACTTCTCACCCCTTTCCACGTGTGCCCCTTGCAGAGGGGATCCAGACAAGTGTGACATCTGGGGCAACACGCCCCTGCACCTGGCGGCCTCCAACGGCCACCTGCACTGCCTCTCCTTCCTGGTGTCCTTCGGGGCCAACATCTGGTGCCTGGACAACGACTATCACACGCCGCTGGACATGGCGGCCATGAAGGGCCACATGGAGAGCGTGCGCTACCTGGATTCCATCGCGGCCAAGCAGAGCGGCCTCAACCCCAAGCTGGTGGGCAAGCTGAAGGACAAGGCCTTCCGCGAGGCCGAGCGGCGCATCCGCGAGTGCGCCAAGCTGCAGCGCAAGCACCACGAGCGCATGGAGCGGCGCTACCGGCGCGAGCTGGCCGAGCGCTCGGACACGCTGAGCTTCTCCAGCCTCACGTCCAGCACACTGAGCCGCCGGCTGCAGCCGCTGTCGCTGAGCGGCCACCTGCCCTACTCGCAGGCCACGCTGCACGGCACGGCGCGCGGGAAGACCAAGATCCAGCGCAAGCTGGAGCGGCGCAAGCAGGGCGGCGAGGGCACCTTCAAGATCTCGGAGGACGGGCGCAAGAGCGTGCGCTCGCTCTCCGGCCTGCAGCTGGGCAGCGACGTGATGTTCGTGCGCCAGGGCACCTACGCCAACCCCAAGGAGTGGGGCCGCTCCCCGCTCCGGGACATCTTCCTCTCAGACGAGGACAGCGTCTCCCGTGCCACGCTGGCGGCCGAGCCGGCCCACTCGGAGGTCAGCACCGACTCCGGCCACGACTCCCTGTTTACGCGCCCAGGCCTGGGCACCATGGTCTTCCGCCGGAACTACCTGAGCAGCGGCCTGCAGGGGCTGGGCCGCGACGATGCAGCGCTGGACGGCCGGGAGCCCGCGGTGCGGGCTCGGCTGCAGACCTCCCCCAGCCTGGACGACGACAGCCTGGGCAGTGCCAACAGCCTGCAGGAGCGCAGCTGCGGCGCCGAGCTGCCGTGGGACGAGCTGGACCTAGGGCTGGACGAGGACCTGGAGCCCGAGACCAGCCCGCTGGACACCTTCCTGGCCTCCCTGCACATGGAGGACTTCGGGCCGCTCCTGCGGCAGGAGAAGATCGACCTGGAGGCGCTCATGCTCTGCTCCGACCTGGACCTCCGCACCATCAGCGTCCCCCTAGGGCCGCGCAAGAAGATCATGGGCGCCGTGCGGCGGCGGAGGCAGGCACTGGAGCGGCCGCCCGCCCTGGGCGACACAGAGCTGTGAGTGCAGGGCGGGGGGAGGGGGGCAGGCAGGAAGAGGGGCGCTACCTTGCAGGGGGAGATTATACGGACTTCATAACCCAAGTTGCCACAGATTCCAAGAGGCCCCTCGTTGTCTTCTCCGCCCCCACTTCAGAAGATGCCGTTTTAATGACCTGATCCCAGCTTTCCTGTGACACCTCAGCTTTGGCATTTTGGGGGGCACACCTGGTGGTGCACAGGACTGGCTCTGTGCTCAGGGGACCATAGGGGATACCCAGGTCAGCCCAGTGCAAGGCAAGCGCCCTGCCCACAGTTCCATGGCTCCAGCCCCTCAACTTTGTTTTCTAGTTTTTGTTTGGGGGGCCACACTCAGCAGTCCTCAGGGATTACTCCTGACTCTGTGCTCAGGTACGACTCCTGGGGGACTCGGGACCATCTCGGGGTGGCAGGGATCAAACCTTGTTGGCTGTGGGGCTGGAAAGATAGTACAGCAGGTAAGATGCTAGCCTTGTACACGCCTGACCCAGGTTCAATCACCGGCATCCCATATGGTTCCCCCAAGCACCTCCAGGAGTCATTCAAGAATGCAGAGCCAGGAGTGACCCCTGAGCATCACCATGTGTGCCCCCCCCCGAGAGAGAGAGAGAGAGAGAGAGAGAGAGAGAGAGAGAGAGAGAGAACACGAGGTTGGCCTCGTGCCCGGTGAGTGCCCCTGCCACTGTGCTCTCTCCGCCCAGGGCACCTTAGCTTCAGAGCTTTGAGCCCATGCAGTCTGAGGGAAGCAGCCAGTAGCCATGTAACCCTGCAGGGTTCTCGATGGTCCATCTCCAGGTGTCCTGGGGCTGCCCTGCCACCTGCTCCCAGCCCCTGGTGTCCCCACTTTACAGGTGAGCATGTGGCAGCCCCGTGATTAGGGTGTGTCCAG